CCTCAGCACCACAGTACATAAATAAATAGCAGGCAAGGAAAGTGCTTGTTCCACAAACATGAAAGGGACTGAGTGTATGTGATTCCTAGAAACCCTCTTCTCCCAAAGAAAAAACAACAGACAGGCATAGGGGCTCCTACCCATATTCCTGGTGCTGTGGAGGAGACAGGCAGATCCTAGGGGCTCCTTGGCTGCCAAGCCTAGCCAAATCATTCAACCTACAGGTCCCAGTTAGAGACCCTGCCTCAAAAAAAAGAAAGTAGACAGCTCCTAAGGAAAAACACGTATGGTAGACTCTTCCGTGTGCTTATGCGTTCATGCACACTCTCACACACATCAGTACTCAGATTCCTATATGCCAGGTACATGCACACATACAGAGAGGCAAAAAGAAAGTAGACAGCTCCTAAGGAAAAACACGTATGGTAGACTCTTCCGTGTGCTTATGCGTTCATGCACACTCTCACACACATCAGTACTCAGATTCCTATATGCCAGGTACATGCACACATACAGAGAGGCAAAAATAAAAATAAAAACCAACCAAGGACGGAGTGTCAGGGGACAGGTCTTAGGTCTTCTAGGCATAGTGGTGGGATCTCCTTGCCCCTTTGCTGCTGAATACCTACAGTATGCTACATACTGAGCTGGGAACCACATACTCGTTATATTGGATATTTCTTTGGGAAACATATTTTCTTGTTGAGTAGATTGTGCTTGGGAAATAAAGTCAGAAGTGAGAACCACTCACCACTGTGCACAGACACACCATTCAATGTCTTCACCTTAGCCTAGTAAGGTTTTCTTATTCCTGTTTTACAGACAAGTAGCTGGGGCCCAGAATGGAAAAGTGACTGGCCCAGCATCCCACAGCTGCAGGATGGACAGAGCGGGGGCTGGTACAAGTGAGGCTCCAGGATGCAGTGTGATATATAAGATCATGCTAGTGCATGGCCTATGCATCTCACCTTCCCTGGTCCTCAGTGAAACCTTATTTCTGATTCTATGGCTGTACACCTACATGTCCTGTATTCCATCTCCTCTGCTCCCTGACCTGCTTTCTCTGCAGAATTGGGTGCCTACTACCATCCTTTGACCAATAGAACAGTGCCCAGCTTTATCTAGTCAAGGCAGCTTCTGTCTCATCTAGGCTCCCTCCCCTCACATAAGAGGACAGGGGACAAAGGTCTTTCTTTTCTTAGCTTCCTCTGACCCTGTGTTCTGACCACACCTTCTGGCATACCTCACAGCACTGCTTCTGCTGGGGACATAGACCTTTGTCACCATGATGTGTGCTGGAGCCATTCCTTTGGTGCTAGGAGGCCTTTGCTACCTCCAAGACTGTAGGGCATAGATGTCCCCTGATAGAGCCCGAAAGTGGAACTTAAGTTCCCAAGCTGAGCTTGATGATCTTGTCTCTCTACCATGCCTTCTTTCTTCTCAGTGCTGTTGGGACAGGCAGGAGGAAGAAGAATGCCTGAGACTTAGTACTTTATGAATGCTAGTGGCTATGCAAATTAGCATGACTTTGGAGGTCATGGAGCCCTTCCCTGTGGTTCAGTACCCCATCCTTTCTGGTGCCTACACCCATCTCCTCAGCCATTAGAACATACCTGTGGCGAGGCAGCCTCAGACAATCAGGAGCCAAATGTGAATCTAGTGGGACTCTGGCCCGTTCAGAAGTGAGTCAGGGGTAGGGGGTCCACTCTACTGTGCCACCCCACCTCCTGGCACATGTATACCCCTAGCTCTTCCCCAGCCACAGTGCATTCAAAGTCACAGCATCACGTCATCACCATGCTCTACAATTGTTGGTCGACCTGTGAGTCTAGGTCCTTTACTGTCCTCAAACCAGGTCTCTCTAGTTCCATCCTATAGTCCCAGATCTGGTCATGAGGAGCTGCCTGCCTCTTTATCAGTGTCTGTCTCTGGTTTGGGCAAGGTGTTGGTATCCCCCTGCAGGAAGGTCCCCTGCTGAATGGTTTTCATCTGTATAGGTGGCCACTACAGCTTCCTACTGGGCCCTGGTTATTAGAGAATCTACAATCAGACCCACAGGGAAATAGGCCTTTGTGTGGCCTTGGCCTCCTTGCTCCAGGCCTTGCATGGACCCATATGAAGGCAGCCTGTGATCTTCCTGCCTGGTCTGGTCTCTGGGACCACACCATCCTCTCTTGGTTAGCCCTGAGTCTCTGGCAGTTCCCTGTGAGTGTCTTCCTGCCTGAGAGTGAGATTGGCTTTGTTGTATTAGGTGAGCCCTCCTGGTGCTAGTCCTTGGAGGTCCCCTGATCCTTGCACACCATCAGAGGCCATTCTGGAAGTGTACTAGTCACTGGGCCAGAGCTTGGCTGGAAGCCCTTAAACCCTCACTAGTTTCTTTATTGGCTCTTCCTCGCTGGGGTTCCTCCTGAGTCTCCTACCTTTGATCCCTGCCCCAGCTCTGTCTCCCTCCAGAGCCATGGTAGGTCATCTCCAGGTCCACTCTGGTCATGTTCCCCATGAACCCCTTGCTTGTCAGCCCCTGCATACCAGTCTGCCACAAGGCCTTGTCTGGGCATCTCTGGGAGACAGGAACAATGGCAGTGATTCTAGTTTTGATTCTAGAAGTGTTGGGCTGGCACCCTGCCACTGTGTGCAGTGATGGTGGCTGGGCTGGCTGGCTGGTTTAAACATGGTCTCTTGGGAGGTGGGGTAAGTCCCTTCAGGCTCTGGGCCTTGAAATGGGTGGTGTGTGTTGGCCCATGTGCACTCACAGCTGAAGAATCCCTGGCCTTGGGCTCTGTGTCCATGGAGCTTCAATTGTGAAAGCCACATGGAGAAGAAAGTGAGCAAACTGCCCCATAACAATGACCCTGAGTCTACTGTGAACCCTAGGGAGTGGGGCTGGGAACCAAGCCACCTGCAGCTACTTGCCACTCAGGGTGGCTCCAGCCTCAATTTCCCCATTTGTGAACTCTGTTCTTCTCTCTGGGATGACTTTCCTTCCTGTGCTGGTGACAGGAATACAGAGATGTGTAAAGCTTGTTTCTATCCAGGAAGGAGTTAAGCTAATGGACAGATGCTGGCTCTAGCCAGGTGTAAGCATAGGTGAGCAGAGGAGGACCCTCGTGGGCTGCTGGCCTTGAGTGCCTAGCTGTCTGCCCATCCTTCACCCACACTGTCTCCTTTCGCTCAGGGGTACATCAGATTTTGCCATTCTTCAGTGTATGCTGAACTTTCAAGTTTAAAAAAAAAAAAAACAAAACCTCCCTCCTAGCCAGCAATGTGGGTGTGTGGGCAGCTGTCCTTTGCCTCACAGGGTGTGGGTACCTCTTGCAGTGGGTGTTCAAGCTGGTGTTTGTCAGCCTTGGGGTAGGGGTAGGATGCTTGTCACAGCTCTGTTTTTTTTTTTCCTTCTGGCCCAGTGTGTTCTACAGATACTCTTGGTAAAGAGGGCTGATGGCTTTGGGGCTATGGGTGTGGCTGTGTTGGTGGTGCTGGTCCAGTGTAGAAAGCCTAGCTCCTTCCCCAGCATAAGACAGGCTGATGGTTCTTATACTGAAGGAAACAGCTAAAACAGTGGTTCTCAATCTATGGGTCATGACCCCTTGGTTGGCTGTGGAGGGGATCAAATGACCCTTTCATAGTGATTGCCTAAGCTCATCTGAAAAACAGATATTTACATTATTATTCATAACAGCAGCAAAATTACAGTTATGAAGTAGCAATGTAATAATTTTATGGTGGGATCGCCACAACATGAGAAATTTTATTAAAGGGTCACAGCATTAGGAAGGTTGAGAACCACTGAGCTAGATGCTCTTCGATGGCCTGAGACTATGTACAAATGGGCTTGAACTCTGCCACTCTGGCCTGGGTTGAAGGAGCCCCACCATGTGCATCTAGCAGGGATAGGAACTATGACCCTTCCAGGCAAAGCTCTATACCCAGTGCCCACACATTGGCCTTGCCCTCTGGCTCAGGTACTTGGGCTCAGTGGCCTCTGTTATCGTGTTATAAACGAGGATTGTTGGACCCCCCGACAGAATGCATCAGTGACAAACATGCAGTTAGCAAATAGTGGTGAAGCCCTGTCACTAACCCTGCTGTGTGCTTGCCTTTAGTGAACAGTGGAAGTCAGAGGGCTGTTGAGGCTTTGATTGATGCTGTTTTACTGAGGGCTGATGTGGGAGGGCAGTTTTGGTACCCCCAAATCCTGAGTTTCCTATTCCTCATCCATGGAAGTCTTTGGAGTTATTGCCCAGAATCCCAGACTGATACCGAACACTGAGACTGCTACCCGGCACCCAAACACCAGAAGTCATTGAATTGAATGCATGGATGAATGAATGAAGGTTGCTTTACTAGGCCACAGGAGTCTGCAGCACTTGCAGAATGGTTTCAAATGAAATAGAGCAGATAAACAGCAGCAGCTTACAGCAGGAAATGTGCTGCACAGTGGTTTGATGGGAAATTCTTCTGCATAAAATGGAATGGGACAGAGCAGTCCCATGTGTTAGAACCTAGCTGGGATCTCTTCCTTATCTTCAAGACCATTGTTTGAGTTTAAGGCTTTTGTTTCCCCTCCAGGAGAGGAAGAGGGACTTCCTCAGTCCCCTAGTGGGTTTGTTTGTGACCAAGCCATTTACTCAAGTGCTGTATGTTTTGGGTGTTTACTTTATTACTGATATGTGATGAGTATTGGGAAGGGTCAGGCAGGCACTCAGGCCTCTCCTGACTCTTTCCAGATTCTCTCTCACACCCAATACTTCATTTTACTGCCATTGCAAATGAGCCATAGTGCTAAAAGAAATGGATGCCTCTCCTCCGGTTACACTCATAGAAGCAGGACACATGGATCAAAGGAGGTGACTGCTGTATTATGCAGTGCTGGGGTCAGAGCAGCCTCTGTTCTGGGTCGTGGGGACAAATTTTTTGGAGTGGCAGCAGACTAGAACATCATCCTCAGAAAAGACCTAAGGGCCTAGCCAGCCCTCTGATGTCTGCCATTGTCCCTACAGCCAGGTGGCCGTCTCGGCAGGGGTTTGAGCTATCCTCATGGAAGGGAGAGGACCCTACCGGATCTACGACCCAGGGGGCAGCACGCCTCTGGGAGAGGCATCTGCAACTTTTGAACGCCTAGTGGTGGAGAATACCCGGCTGAAGGGAAAAATACAAGGGATAAAGATGTTAGGTAAAGCAGACCATGCCCTTCCCCCTGTTGTCCCTCTCCCCGAAGCCTGCAATGCCAGCCCCCCCCCCCAAAGGCTGGCACATTCCTCTGTCCATCGTCCACTGTCCCTGTAACCCAGTGTTAGCCTCTGGCATCTCTGTGCATTCTGTGGCCTGGTGATGGCATTCCCAGCCCTGACATCTCCACCCCAGAGGGTATCCTTTAGGGAAAAAAAGGGGGCATGGGAAGAGGAGTATAAGGCTCATTTTGTGGACCTGGAGCCAAAATGGTCTTGACCTGTTGGAGAGTGAAGTGTGTGAGATGAGGAGAGCCAGTGTACCAGGGCAGCTCCAGAACCCAGGGCTTGGATGCCAGGCCAGGAGCAGAACTGGCTCAGAGCTCAGTACAGCAGGGCCCTCGACCCTCTTCCTTCAGCTTCTGCTCAAGCTACTCCCACTGTCCAGCCCACCCCTCCTTCCATCCTTGCCCACTACTGACCAATGCATGGCATGCTTCTCCTTGCTGCAGAGCCTTCACTTACTTCCCTCTCCCTCTCCTTGTCTGGAAGTCACTTTCTTTGTGTTCAAGCTTGGTGTGAAGGGCATAGCACCCTGGCTTTCCAAGTGTTTTCTCTTTGTTTTACAGAACCAATCTGGGGTAATGGTGGGTGGGGAGGTGGAGATTTTCCTCTCTCCATCTGCACAAGGGAAACTGAGGCCTAGAATGCAGGAAATCCCTCAAGAACCCCTCACTTCCTCCCTATGTGTGTGTGGGGGGGAGTGGGTGGGGTGTCCAGATGCGGAGGGAAAGGTGGGCAGGAAGAGAGGCCAGAGGTAGGTTTCCTTGGGCTCCACTGCCAGACTCCCCTTACGATGGCCTGTTTTTGGGAGGGACTTACAGCTCATGTAGCCACCATGGGAATGAAATCAGTCCATGGCCAAGTATGAGGAGAGGATGGGGAGAGCCATGCACTGGGCTGGGTAAATGTGTGCTTTTCTCTTGTCTCTAGGGGAGCTCCTAGAGGAGTCTCAGATGGAAGCGTCCAGGCTCCGACAGAAGGCAGAGGAGCTGGTCAAGGACACTGAGCTGCCTCTGCCGCCAGCTGCTCCTTCCTTGGGCTCCTTCGATCCCCTGGCTGAACTCACAGGTACCAGAAGCATCCAGAAACCCTTCCTCTCAGAACCTAGACAGCCTAGGCCCTGAACACCACAAGGCCTCCCCCTTCTCACTCAGACCATCTTCTGTACACATCGTTTGGCTACAGCACCCGTGGAAGGGCAGATCTATAAGGGACCTTAAAAGATTCTAGTGATTCAGCACTCCTTATGCCCTGGCAGGCATTAGTGATCCGTCACAGTAGTCCATGGCACCAAAGACATGGCCCTGGGGGTTTATCAGCACGGTTATTGAGTTCCCCAGCTGCTGTGTGGCCGGCCCAGCCCCCAGGCACGGAAGCTGGACTTCTCTGTCCCCGCCTCTCTGCTCTGCTTGTATTTCATAATCTGGAAGGCTGAGTCCCAGAGAAGAATCTGGCCCTGTTTGTTAGCCTTCAGCAGTGCCTATGCTATCTGCTGGAGGAGAGGGTGACAGTCTAAGGCTTGGTCTCTGTGTGGTCACCTTGTGTTAGTTACTCCAGTGTGTCTTGAGTCCAGGTCAGGGACTGGAACCAAGAGAAGATCTCCCACACCAGACTTGGGCACTTCTGCTGCTGCTACTCCTCAAACTCAGCCCAGCCCCCTATGACACCTTCTTTTTCAAGGGTGATGGTGCTTGCCTGACAGATGAGAAGTTGGGGGGGTGGGGTGTCAGAGTGTCGGAGCCTGTGACACTGCTGTCAGAGGGGCATTCTAGCCCTTACTGACCCAGTCAGTTGTTAATTCTCAGTGTCTGATTGGGGCCAGGTCCACTCCCAGTGTGATGGGGAGATATTCAAAAGGCTTCTGCAGCAGGGGCCCCCAATGGTAGGGAAGCTGAGCTGCATTTGAGTCCATGTTTTACAGTTGCTAACAGTGACTAGCCAAGTGCTGATCTTGCCAAACCTTGGTTTCCCTTTCCCGGGACTGTCATGAGAACACCATAGTGGGTGGGTATAGCACAGTGGGTAGAGTGCTCACCTAGCATGTATGAAGTCCTGAGTTCCTTCTGTCTTCAGCTGCTCTGAATAAAGTGCATGTGCCACACACCTGTAATCCTGGAATTAGGAGTTGGTGGCAGAAAGGTAAGTCCAGTGTCATCCTCAGTTGCACACTGAATTTGGGGCCAGCCTGAGCTACATGAAACCAAGTTTGAAGTCAACCTAAGCTGCATGAGCCTTTTTTCAAAACTCAGTAGAAAGCACTTGGTTAATTAAAAATTGTGCCCATATCCCTAAGGCAGATCTAAGGGAACAGGGAGCCATGGACACCTTAGAGTTTTCCTAGGAAGGTCTGGGAAGAGGGTCTCTGCCCAGGCTCTGTCCACATTACTCATTCCACCTGGCTTCTTGCCTTAAAGGGACAGCATCCCTTTAAGCATCAGGTCAAGAGAGAACTCAGTCAGAGAGCTTCTATCACTGTGGGGTGGGTTCAGGCTTCTTGACCCTTCTGGGTTTCTTTAGCCACAGTCTTGATTTTCCAGGACAGGATGCACAAGTCCAGGTGCACCCTCCTGCCACCACTCCCAACACCACCACCACTCCCACCACCACTGAAAACTCCATGGAGAAGCCAGCACCAGCCTCCAGGCCTTCATCCAATGTAAGTTGCATTTGGAGTGTAGAACTGCCTGAAGCTCTTCCCTCCTCACATTGGGAGGTGGCAGCTTGTCATTTTGAGATGGAAGTCATAGTTAATATAGTATAACCAGGAAGGCCCTGATCCAACAAGGAATTCCTCTTATTTACTGAGCTGTGTAATGTGATATGCTCACCAGTGGGGTACAGACATGCGCTGCCAAGAGACTCAGAAACCGTGGCCTGAAGGAGAAGTTTAGCTTGATACGTTGTAGGGTGGTAGGGAGACTTCAGATGGTAAGGAGAAGAAAAGGACCTTTTCCAAGGTCATGTGTGGAATTTAGAGAGAGTAGATTTGGGGGAGGTCTTCTCTAGCAGGGTTAAGACTACAGAAGAGGTCATGGTTGCTGTCAAACCAGCTGGGCTGGTTTCCATCTGTCCTACCCCATCTCAGGACTGGGAAACCTGGATAATCTCTGCAGGTCAAGAGGGTTTTGGGTTGGTGTGTGTGTGTGTGTGTGTGTGTGTGTGTGTGTGTGTGTGTGTGTGTCCTGTATGCATGAGAGAGGGGTGTACACCAGTGTGTGCCTGTGAGGACAGAGGAGGATGTCAGTGTTCTGTTTTATTGCTTTTTCGTCATCCTCAGAAGTCTTCATTGAAGCAAGAGTGTGCCAATTTCAGATAAGCCAGCTGGCCAGCAGGTCCAGTGATCCCCCTGTCTCTGTCCACTCCAGTGCTGGTGTTACAGATTACAGAAACTCAGCCATGATTTTTACATGGGTGCTGGGGAATCCAAACATAGGTCCTCCAGCTGGCATAGCAAAAGCACTACCCACTGAGCCATCTCCCCAGCCCCTGGTCAGGTTTAAGGGGAATGTTAGAGCCAAGTGCAGGTTTTCAGATGAACTGTGGGCCCATTGTGATTGAACATCCTATCCTGTAAAGTCTGCTTGAAATGGCTAGAGGTATGAAAAAATAGAAAATTGGCTAGCCACCACCTCAGTTTGGGATGCACTCTGAGACACTTTCTGCATTGTCCATCTATCCTTAGTGTTCTCAGATCAGTTCTCTCCTGGGAACCTCTGGGGCTGGGTTGGCAAGGCTGGTATAGGACCTTTCTTAGTGGTGGTTATAATGGCTGCTGTCACCCAGGGGTAAGCTAGAGACGCTTGAGCCTAGGAGATTTGGCAGAATCTGCCATCTTGTGAAAAGTCCCGCTTTGTGTGTTAACTAATCCTGTGAACATTCAAGAGAATACGAACCTCCCAGCTACTCCATGGGTGGCTTTTGAGAATAAAGATCATGAAACATTTTAAAATGCAAAAATCTTTGGGCCAGTAGGTGGCTTGGTAGGTAAAGGTGATTGCTATTAAGTTTGAACTCAGAAGCCTCAGTTCTTTGCTCAGAACCCATGGGATAGGGAGGAGGCAACTGATGTCCACATGTTCTGTGGTATCAATACACACACACACACACACACACACACACACACACACACACACCAGTGATTAAATAAATAAATAATGGTGGTGATTAAAGGTCAGCTCATCCCACGCCCATTTCACAGATAAGGTAGGGGCCAGGGAGGGATGTGACCTCAGATCACAAGGAGGATGGTGTGATGGCAGTTGTGTGGAGTTCCGGGTGATCTCATGTGAAGGGTGTGTGACTGGCTACTTCTGGAAACTCTGCACTGTTTACCCGTCTGTCCCCTCAGTGTTCTTCATTGGGGGCAGGGTGCATTTCTTTTGGACAGCCCCTAACTCCCTTTTTGCACAGGGCACTTCCTCTGACTTTGAAGTGGTCCCCACTGAGGAGCAGAATTCTCCACCCAAAACTGACAGCCACCCTAGGAACATGATGGTGAGCATAGGCTAGCCCCCTAAGCACATCCTCTGCTTTCCTTTCTGTCTGTCACCTGCCCCTGCGTGACAGGCACTGGGGCCCCTCAGATCCCTTGGGTCCCCTGGAGATACAAGGGGGACACAGAGGGGCTAGAACATGGGGTGCTTCTCGGTCTCATATGCAAATCCCCTGTTGGTGACTTCCCCGGCTTAGGGCACACAGTACCCCACTATTGTGAAAGCCTGGGCCATTTGCCAGCCCCACTGGCCTCTGGGCCAATCACCTTTCTATCAGTTATGATGACTCAGCCTTTTGGGTCTGTAGGCTCCTAAGCCTGGGGGTGTGGAATGGGTCAGCCTGGTGCTTGTGGTGGGAATGGGGGTAGATGGTAGTAATTTACCCTTTTGTGCAGGTCCTTGACTCCTCCCAGAAGTGGTTGGAGGTTAAAATTTCTGTTCACATGTGGGGTGCACACATTTCTCCAGCTTCAGAAGGGCTATTCATATCCCTATTCCTGGCTTGGAGTGCTTACCACCTTGGTCCCAATCATGCTAATCCTTCTGTTTTTTTCTTAAAATGCCAGACTTCATAGAGAGCTATTGTGAAAGATCTGGAAGATTCTTCTGAGACCTTATATTCCTAACTTCTCCCCACCCCTCTCTTCCCATTAATATTTGCTTTATTCTGGTGTGTGTGTGTGTGAGAGAGAGAGTTGGGGGTAGCTCAGAACTTGGAGAAACCTCTTACCTCATCTCCTAAGTCCTTGAAATGACAGGCATGCCTCACTTCTTTTTAAATTAAATTGTTGCTGTGCCAGTGCTACATGACCTCACTTTCACTGACAGTGCTACAGTCTCTATTGCCTGGAGTCGTGAAGGTTTGAATGGCTGGTGTGTGCTTTTGCTCACCCACAAACATAGTGACCCACCTCACACCGGCATTTAGCCTCTGGTGTGGAGAGAATCACTCTGTCAGGCAGAGTATCAAACAGGAGCTCTATTTTGTCTCCTGGGACTATAAGTCTCTCATCCTGTTCTGTCCCTGAGGTCTCAGACACAACTGAGGAGGCAAGATGCCCTCGTTCAGAAAGGTTTCAGCCTGTGACCATGGGGTGGTAACTTATCTCTTAAGTTAAAAGTCCATGTGTAGGCAGCCTGTTTCACCTGTGCCAAGCCAGGAATACACTGGCTCCTGCTAGTAGCTTGTGGGCTAGTTGGATCTGAAGCACATTATGAGCCTTTAGAGAGCATTCTTGACCACCCCTAGTCCTTTGTATAATGAAATGGTGGGGAAGGGTTGCAGAATTGGAGAGAGATGCCACCTTTCTTAGAACAGGTGCAGTCAGGGAACAGGCTGAGTGTCCAGTTGCCACAGAACTTAATAGCAGCTCACAGAGCCCTGGATTACAATCAGAAAACCCCAGTTGAAGGGCTAGATCTGCTGTGTACTGACAGGGTTGCTGTGAGCAAGTTCTCTGTCACTGTCTTCACTGTCCCAGCCTGAACCCTGCCATCCCTGTGGCTCTGCTGTCTGATTCTGAAGTGTTGTAGAAGGTCTGTTGTGTGAGTCTCTGAAGTATTTGTGGGGCAGGGGCTTGGAGGAGCTGAAAACTTGGGGTAGGTGATCAGGATATACAGAAATGAGGCCCAAAGAACCCTGGGGTCTGGCACAGGGGCTTGGGCAGGAGAAGGTTGGGAGGCCAGGATTAATGCAGTGAGAAGCAAAGGTCCCACTAGAATGGATCCTTAGGTCTGATGTGGGCATAAACAGGGCTATGGCTTCAGTAGGCATATTCTAGAGAGAGTGGAGGGAGCAGTACTGAATTGCTCTGCATGGGCTGCTGTCTCTTAAAAATACTGCACTGTGTTGAGGTCCTTTGTGTAGTATTGGAGCTGTGATTCTTAGAAACAAATAGCATTTAATCCACTCCCAGGCCGACCCCCTGCCCTGTGTGTAACCTCTCTGGACTCAGGAAGCAGAGTCTATACAGCTAGGGACACCCTCTCTGCCTTCACTCCTGTGAATTTTGCTGTGCAATTAAGAACGGAAGTGATATACACACACTGCTGAGACAATGCCCAGTCTCGGGGTGGGGGGTGAGGGTGAACTGACTACCCTCAGGCGCTCAGTACAGCTCAGAGCACAGGGGGCAGATGGCTCTGGTGCTGTTAGGCCAGTAAGTGGCCTGGAAGTTCTAGGTCCTGCCCTGTGAGTCAGCTTCAGATAAGGAACCTGTGTAACTGGAAAATTTCCCTGGGCTAAGCAGAGGCCACAGGGGAAACTGAGTCATGAAGAATGGGGAAGCAGTGGGAGAATTGGTGAAGACCATCCCCTTGCTCCCACAGGAGCTGGGGCCCCCACCCCCAGAGGACGGCAATCTCATGCTCCACCTGCAGCGCCTGGAGACCACCCTGAGCGTATGTGCCGAGGAGCCTGACCACAGCCAGCTCTTCACCCACCTGGGTCGCATGGCCCTCGAGTTCAACAGATTAGCCTCCAAGGTGCATAAAAACGAACAGCGCACGTCCATCCTGCAGGTGAGGCGGCCAGTGCCCCTTCCCCTGGCTCTCTGTGTGGTCAGGAGTTAACTGTGGGGACTTTGGAGGGCTGCATTCTAGGCCTACTTGGGGCCTCTTATTCACACTGGTGACTGCAATAAGGAAGTTGTGGGAAGGTGTGTGAAAAAAAAAAAAAAAAGAAGGAAATGAGGAAATGGGGGCGGGGGCTTACAGATTCATAATGGGTGGCCTGAGGGTGTGGACTGGCCAGCTAGATATGACCGGCTTTGTTCTTGTTTCTTTTGGGTTTTTTTGTTTTGGTTTGGTTTTTTGAGACACTATGTATCCCTAGCTGGTCTAGAATTCACTATGTAGACCAGGCTGTCCCTAAACTCAGAGATCCACTTGTCTGTGGCACCTGAGCTCACTCTGGCTTGCTTTGCTCTCACTGCAGTCCTGCTCCCTGCCCCCTGCCCCCCCCCCCGCCCCCCTGCAATAAGACCCATTCATATGACCCATTCCCAGGTGGACAAACAGCCCTCAAAAAAACCCAGTGGGTAAATGGGTAAATGATGGGTGATGGGTTGATATTAGAACCTCTTGCCTTTTTTTTTTTTTTTGGAGACAGTCTTACTCTTAACCCAGGCTGGCCTGGAGCTCGCTCTATAGCCCAGACTGTTCTCAGATTCACAGCATCCTCTTGCCTCAGCCACCTAAGTGCTGGGATTCCAGACATGAGCCACCACCCTCAGCTTTAATCTGTCATATTTTAAATCTCATACCCTTAGCTACCCTCCCTACCCACCTCCCTTTTCCAATCCCTCCCAAAAGGCTCCGTGTGCTGGGAGATGGTGATATTCCTTTGCTGACCAGGTCAGGCTTTGGAGTTATGTTGCCCTTGGTTCAACATTACGGACTGATGTAGGACAAGTCACTATCTCTGTCCTATCAGGAATTGAGCTAGCAGTGTCCCCTTCCTGGGATTGCTGCATCAGGGGAGGCTCTTTTGCAGTCTAGAACCCAGTGCTGGGAGAGGTCACTGTCAGCTTTGTTTCATGGTGCTCAATTGTACAAATAAAGCCTATCTGAAGGTCAGAGAAGGAACAAGCCTCAGCATCCACACTGGGCAGGCCATCTTAACGTGGAGGACTTTGCAGCTGATTCTGCTCCACTTACAGTTAATTGGTGACCATTGTGAAAATGGTAGAAATGGGGCTGCCAGGGCCTGCTCAGGACTTGAGCACCCCCTTCCTTTTGGGCAGAACCCTCACCCAAAGGCCCTCTACTTTTAGATAGACCCCCTCCTTCTGGGCCAGTTGACATTGATGAAAAGAGGGGATCCACCCTGTGTATTTGAGCAGCTGAGGTCTTAGCAAACACCTTGGCAAATACATGCAGGCATAACACCTCTAAACATAAAATAAAAACAGATCAGTCTATAAACAATAAATGAGCTCACAGGCATGCTCTCAGACTCTCTGATGGAGAGTGGTGACCTTTGATTGCTGATGAGCTGTCCAGCATCTGATTTGTACTTAGGGCATTTACCTAGAGGCTCCAAGATCAGCCCTCTGGCCCGGAATGACAGTGTAACAAATGAGGTGTCATTGTGGCCTTCCCTTAGGGACAGAAGCAGGACATTCTGTTCCCTGGAGTCCCCACCCAGGGCCACAACAACTCCTTGTTTCTCAGCCTCTGAGTGGAGGAAGCTAAATCCAGTTCCTCCTCATTCTCTCTCTGATTTGTTTCTTGGTTCACTCAACAAACATTGCAGGCTCACACTTGTAATCTCAGCACTTAAGAGGCCAAGGCAAGAAGATTTCTGGGAGTTCAATGATGAGGTATATAGTGAGTTTCAGGCCCAACATGGTTACAGGTTGAGGCCTAGCCTAAAAAGAAAAGGAGATGTGTATGTGTGTATGTAGGTGTATGTAGGGTGTGTATATATATATACACACACACATACATACATACATACATACATACATACATACATACATACATACAGATATCAAATATTGCACAGGGCCCTCTGATGGGCATTGAAGAAACCAATAACAAGCTTTTTGTTTTCTCAACCTTCAGCCCACAATGTCCCACATCCACAGTGGAGGTTGCCCTTTACAGGACAGCCATCTATCCAGGACTGTTTTATGCTGGTCAGAAAGGAAGCAAGCAGTTCTGTAGTCTCCCTAGGTGACATAATACAATTTCCCTTGTATTCTTTGTAGTCAGAATTCATTTCTTTCCATACCATTCCTAGAGTGAATACAAGATATCCACCCTAGTTAGAAAAAGAGACCAGAGAAGTGAGCCAGGGAGGGCTGCCAAGGAGGAGAAATCTAGGCAGAGAGAGCCATGAAGGGAAGAGAGAGGGCATTCTCATTAGGAGGACCAGGACCCCCAGTGCATCCTCATTGCTGGCTCCTATGGAAGAGAAGAAGCCAGGATGGATGGGTCTAGTGGCCTGGGTCCCAGCTGTCCTGCCCAATCAAGGAGATATAGTATCTTGTCCTGCCAGGACTGGCTGCTGCTCCAGCCCCTTGTGAGCCTTCCTCGGGACATGCCCCCTCTCAACCCTAACCCGCCTACCGATCTGCCCCATAGACCTTGTGTGAGCAGCTGCGCCAGGAGAATGAAGCCCTGAAGGCCAAGCTGGACAAGGGCCTGGAACAGCGGGATCAGGCTGCTGAGAGGCTGCGGTAAGTCCAGGCCACCTTGACACTGGGAGAGGAGGAATAGGGCAGGAGGAATAACATACACACTGATTCCTGGGATGAGGTCACATCTTAGAGCTTTGTTCTGACAGCAGATCTCTTGGCCCTTCTTCTTGGCTTCTGGTATTTTATCCCTTGTATTTTGTTTATCTTGGAGGAGGAGGAGGTATAGACAGATAGCATTGAGAGCTGACCTCCCTTGGGGCCAACTGCTACTATTTGTGTGAGAGTTGGCTCAGGACTCTTCTGCCTCCTGGTGGTCATTATCACTTTCTGCTTTATTTTTCTGGGATCTATGGAAGTCCCTAATTGGACTCTGGCCTGTGGGAAGGCATGCATGCTTACTTCAGCCTCTCTATCCTTGGCAAGACCGAGTTGTGATGTCTTAGGTGAATCATAGGGTCTGCCTATCACCAAGGATCTCTGTGTCCACAGTGTAGAAGGCCTGGGGAAATAGGAGTTTGTGATCGCTGGATCTCAAAGGACCTTTGCCCTCAGATCATACAGACTAATGCTAATGGGAATTGTGTAAGGGGAGAAAAGCCCAGGGAGAGGCAGGCTTCCTAAGGGCAGGACCCAGGTACTCACTAGAATAGCGACAGTTGCTGCTCATTGTGGTCATTGGGTAACAGGGTGCTGGGTTATCTGTTAGACAAGAAAATCTGTATTAAAACAGAACTTGCCACTCTTGTTTTCCCTCTTGGTCACTGTGGCCACAGGGACATTTTGCATCATGATGCCTTGATTGACTTTTGGATGGCCATACTCCATTATTCATAGAGAACATAGATAATGTCAAGGACAAGGATACCCAGGGTAAAGGAAAGGTGAGTGGGTGAAAAGGCAAAAGCCTTCTCCCAAAGACTTACTGGTAAAAAGGCAGGAATTGAAGTCCTTGCTAAATGGCCTGGGGAAAAGCCATTTGATTCGGTGGTGTTCTTGTAATTAAGTGGAGGCTGAGACCCCAGCACTACCTATCTCATGAACTTAAGATTTCACTCTCATTTAGTGCTTGTTTTATTTGGAACAGTCTTGCTCTATAGCCCAGAGAACTAACTGTAGCTCAGGCTGGCCTCAGACGCTATAGTTCAGCTTTGACCCCCAGAACATTGGGATTGCAAGTGTGAGCACTCACACTCAGCTTTGCTTTGGTAACTGCTCCTGCCATAAGGGTCTCCCCTGGAGCATCACCTGTATTCAACAGAGAATAACCTTGAAGCAGATACAGTGACCGCTGTATACAGATTCACTAAAGATGGTTCTGCCAACACCAGCTCTGAGGCAGGAGCCTGCTCTTTCTGTGTTGACAAGCGGGGAGTGGCAGGTGCTAGTGAGTGTTCAGGACCTGCTAGCACCACACAGGCTCTGCCTGCTTCAGCTGAGCCAGGACACTTGGCTGTAGAAAGAGGGACAGAGTTTTTGTAATGAAAACAAGACGGTAGGACCTGAAGGTGCCATGTGTGTAGATGGCCTACAGACAGGGAAACTGCTAAGGATTCTCAGGAAGCTTACACACCCTCTAGGTGGCTTGCTGATACACTTTTGGTCTCGCCACACTTCCCAGAACACTTACAGTACCTGTGACAGTAGGTCCTTGTCTTCAAAGGCTCCAAAACCCAGGGCTGACATTGTGACTTCTCTTGTCTCTTATCCAGGGAGGAAAACATGGAGCTCAAGAAACTGTTGATGAATAGCAGCTGCAAAGAGGGCGTCTGTGGGCAGCCCAGCTCTCCAAAGACAGAGGGTGCCGGCAAGAAGGGTATGGCCGGACAGCAGCAGGTGCGTGGCAGGAAGTTCTAGTGTCTCAGGCTTCTCAGACCCAGAATCTGCTCACCCCCTTAGTCAGAGCAAGCCTACCTCCTCCTACACACAGTTCCAGTGGCAGAATGTTCCAGTTGATAGACCGTGCTTCCTAGCTCAGCACCTGCCTCAGCTGTATGACCGTTCCTTGGCCTTTTGTTCTGCCTTTACTCCCTGTGGAGTGTCCCATTATTGATGCTTAATAAGGATCAGGAAAAACAAATAGGCTGAATAGATGTTTATTCAGGGAGAAATAACTTACAACATAGACAGATGAACACCAGCAGGTTCCTGGTCCCAAGGATGTCTCTGGATATACTCCTGTAAGCAAGAGAGCTCTCCGAACCCTCTCCTCAGCCTTAGTTCCCCAAGGTAACATCCAGCCCTCTCTCCACCCCCAATGGGCGTGGTCTATACTACAGGTGCAGACAAGATGAATATCTCACTATATCCCATTCCCTGAGACATATGCTCACAACTATTAGCAGTCATGAGGCTCTGTGACCCCCACTGGCTGCTTCTCTTGCTTGCTCCTTAGATTGTTCAGCTGCCGCCCATGGGAATTGGGTTCAATATTTTGTTCATTCTGGGTACTAGCACCTTAATACATTTTTTTTGGGTCAAGGTCTCTCCCTTAAAGGTGACTCCCAAAGATCAGTGTAGCATAGCAGACATCCCATCGCTAAACTGAAGTGTCAGACTGAGCATGATCCTATGTGGATTGTATTAAGCTTGTGGGATTGCACCTTGGAGCCTCTGCATGGAGAGGAAGACATTGTCAGCATCGTTATGGTCTGGGGATGCTGCAGCCGTGACCCACACCTCCCTACCTCCAGGCCCAGGCTTGCCACACAGCCCAGTCTTAAGTGTCCCTTGCTCCACTTTCACCAGTCTCCCAATCACTTCATCCAGTCTTCAACAGAACACGCTCTGCCTCCTTAAATGAGTAGTAATCAGTTCAGCATAAGTCCTAATGCTAACTTCATACTATGTGATGTAATTATCTCGGTCACTCACTCCTCATGTCTGGGTAGAGATGTACTTCACCTGGGACTTGCAAGGCCATGAGCTCACTCAGGCTCTTCTGCCTGAAAGGATGTCTCTTCCATGTACCCCTCTGGCAGGAGTCTTGGAGACATCTTGTGCCATCATGCAATTAAGATTCTTCCATCTTAATTTCTAATTCTTCACCTCAAGCAAACGTGGGTGTGGCCAACTAACCAACCAAGCCTCCTCACTCCCCTGTGCCACTCCCCCCCTCTCACTAGCACTGTGGCCCCTTTTTCTTTTCTTTTTTTTTAAAGCATGATTTTACTCTGTAGCTATGGTTGGTCTGGAACTCAATATGTAGACCAGCCTAGCCTCCAGTCACAGAGGTCCTCCTGCCTCTGCTGGGATTAAAGATATGTGCCACTATAACTAGCTGTTGCTTTTAACAGTACATTTGGGAAACAGGGGTGCGTCTGTCTGCCAAGGTAAGGGAGCCCAGCACTCTTCAGAAGACAAGGGCCTTCCTGGGGGACATGCATCTCTGCCCTTTCTCAGAGGCCACCATATCAAATACACCTTTCCCTTTCCAGGTGCCATGGTATGCTTACAGGATATAGCCTGTAGGGGGCACTAGAGGCCCACAAGCTCTGCTTCCAGCCTGTGATAGGGAATAGAGAATGTGAGAGTAGGGAGGGTGTGTGACTGCGACTGCAGGGCAGATCAGACTCACTAGGTGGGCTTCAGTCAGTGGGACCCATGCCAACCCCACAGTCTGGATCACACACATTGAGGGCCATGGTGACAGTCACTGCATCTGTACTCCTAGCCTTGTTCTGTGGTTGTTACCTCAACACTTACTAATTGTTTAATTTCAAAATATTTTATTTTGAGGTAATTGTAAACTTATGCAGAAATGAGTTCTGTTCCCAAATGCCCCCTGACTTCCCTGGCTAGCTTACATAACCTCAGAACCACCTCACCAACCATCTTACATAACTGGTTCAGATACCAGAGTTAGATTTAATGTTGGCATCGCAACACTATTTAGATGCCACACACCCTTCACTCTTGTCCTTTCCTTGTTCTCCAACTGAATCCAGAATCCCACATGGCATTCAGTTGTCACAGCTCCTTAGTCTCCTGATGCCTGTGACATTGCTCAGCTGTTCCTTGTTTCCATGACCTTGACACTTTTGAGTTATGCTGGCCAGTTGTTTTGCAGAATAGGTTTGGGTTTAGATTAGATTGTGGTTGTAGAATTTGGAAGGAATCTCGGTGGCATGCCATACATACATGTATGCACAGTACTGGGCTCTTAGCAGATGAATCTGGTCCTTCAACCTCCATAAAACTTGTACACTTGTTTACTTTGTGTTGGGAGTTGCGTGTGTGTGGGGGTCAGAGGACAGCTTGTAGGAGTCAGTTCTCTCCTTCCACCATGTCGGTTCTGGAGATGGAACGCAGGTCATTAGGCTTAGCGACAGCTACTTTAACTCACTGAATCATCCCACTGGCTCCAGATAACTTTAAAAAGTATGTAACTCGCCTTCCAAGTCAGGGATTTGGGCTTGTTATAGGGCTTGACCAGCCGTGCCTCAGAGCTAGAGCCAAAGCCAGCAAGATGGCCGCGGAAAGAGCTGGGGTTGGGATGGTGAGGCTGGCAGCCATTGTACACATCAGCAAAGGGGATGATCCTCGTGGGCTTCCAGAAGGAGGTCATGGCTGTGACACTTCTTCTGGTGGCTGCTGGGTAGGAGGAGCAGGGCGATTAGAGATGGGGCTGACACCCTAGAAGGCCAGTGGGCTGTGGAGCAAAGCTATATCTGAGACTTTAGTCAAAGCTCTGTCTGTTTATCCCTAGGCCGGTGTGATAGCAGGTAAAGCCCCTGAGGTGGGGGTCTTGGGTACAGCTGAGAAGAAGGTGAAGATGCTGGAACAGCAACGCATGGAGGTAGGTGGCTGGACAGGGTGGTCAGTAAGCACCCTTCTCCCCTCCCGGGACCACAGGGTGAAGGCTCCACTTAGCTCTCTGGTTCCTACTGGTCCCAGGTCATCTTGGAGAATTATCGTGGAAACCATTGAACCATCTGCCCATGTGAAAGGTCTTTCTTAATTCGCTACAGGGATCACTGAGAATACTGTATTTGTGGCACAGCCTAAAATTGTTTGGAGAACTTAGGGAGCTGGAGAGATGGTTCTATGGCAGGAGTGCATGCTGCTCTTGCAGAGGACCTGGGATTCAGTTCCCAGGACTCACAAAGGGCAACTCACAACTGCCTGTAACTCCACCTCCAGAGTGTCTGACCCACTGTTCTGGCCTCCTTGGGCACCCACATTCAGGCACACATGTGTTCACGTAACTTAAAATGGGGAGCTGAGGGTGGCTAAAAGTAAACTGAATAGCCCAGGGAGATCTTGGTAAGTCAGACCAGTGTCAGCATTGGACACATGTGCTGCAGTGTAGGGATGGAAGGAACCACCCTTGCCCTTGGCAGCAGCATTGTGTGTCTCACAAGCCCCTCCACGCTGCCGCCAGCCCCAGTGATAGCTTGCCCCTGTGCTGTCCCTCTCTCTAGGCCTCTTCTCAGCTGAGTTCTTCCCAGCCTCTTCCTTCCTGCACCTCTTGCCTTCACATACATCTGAATGCTTGCTTACATGTATACTCTAGGTTTGTTTTTCTCTTATCTCAGAACTAAAAGAATGCTCATTATAAATGAATCAAGACTCTCTCTAGAGATAACTACAGCTGACTTCAGCTCACTACATTCCCTCAGGGTTGTTGTGTTTCAGTTTTTTATGGTACCTGGAACTGGACTTATGGTCTCACCAAGTTGCCTGGTTGAAACTTGAACTCTCAGTCTTTCCTCAGCCTCCTAAGTAGCCGAGGGCACAGAGGTGCAAACCCTGTATTCAAGGTTTCTTAATGCAGAAAATAAAATGACACATACTACTTCTCAGATTAATTACTTAACAGATTAATCTGTTCAGACCTACAGCATAAGCCAGTTCCTTTATTTTTTTAGTACTTTTGTTTTTGGTGGCACATCTGAAATCGGAATATCATCTCATGGTCTGTCATTTTATTTTCTTAGTGATACAGAGTTGTTTTTCTTCCCTGAGTAATTGCTCTGTCAAGAGTATGGCTTATAATTAGCACTATCTTAAAGCTGAGAGAATGTATTAATTGTTTTTATTTTCTTAATGGCTGTGTATTATCTGTTTGTAGTGTCTTTTAATCCATGAATCCATGTCCTACACTAAGCTGACCTTTGGGTACACACACACACACATACACACACACACACACACACACACACACACACACACACACACACACACGAGAGTATCCTTTTATTTTTGGTTTTGTTTTGAAATAGGGTCTCTCTGTAGCCTTGGCTGTTCTGGCTCTGTAGACCAGGCTAGCCTCAAACTCACAGAGATCCTCCTGCCTCTACTTCCTGAGTGCTGGTATTAAAGGCATGGCCACCATGTATGGCTGACTGAGTCTGCACACCTGGCTGAAGTGTTTTTCTTTCCTTTTTTTCTTCCGGTACCAGGGATTGAACCCAGGATCATGTGCATGCTTAGCAAACACTCTCCTACAAAACCACACCTCAGCCCTTGGTTTTAGCATTTCCTTGGATTTTTCAGAGTGGAATAGTTTGTGTTAAAGACAGTGAAAACCTGAGCTTGTCACAAGCTGTTCAGATTGCGCTCTCAAGAATCATGTTTGTGCCTCACAGTAGCTTTCTCCTGGTCTCAGTGCCACATGTTGCTTTCCTAGCAAGGGTGAAATGCAGCTGGGGACAGAGGTGGAGCAGCAGGAAGCTTTTGATCAGTAGGGGATGGAGGCAGTGTTGCAGCTCTACCCAACCAAGTGTGCTCTGGGCACCTGGGGAGCTGGGGCATGGGTGGGTATCTGGTACGACTTCTGTGTGTTTCTAATCCAGCACCTGCCTGCCCACAGCTGCTGGAAGTGAACAAGCAGTGGGACCAGCATTTCCGGTCCATGAAGCAGCAGTATGAGCAGAAGGTGATGGAGTTCCTGGGAGCTGAGCCGTTCAAGGAGGAGGGATGAGAGGCGTAGCTGAGATGAAGGTGGGGGGAGACAGCTGGTGCGTGCTGTCCCCCTGCCCTCACACTCCCTCTCTGCGGCTCCTCCAGATCACAGAGCTACGCCAGAAGCTGGTGGACCTACAGAAACACGTGACTGAGCTGGAGGTGGAGCGTGAGCAGAAGCAGCGGGACTTTGACCAGAAACTCCTCCTGGCCAAGTCGAAGATTGAGACAGAAGAGGCAAGTGTGACCAGGCCTGCAGTCTTTGAGGTTCCACGCTCCTTCCCAGAGTCCCTGGGATGAGAGTCAAGTGCTCTGCCACCTCTGGCAGGCCTGTTTCCCTTCTTAATATTGAGAAAATGGGGTAACTATTGCTTTTCAGTTCTTCTTGCTTGCATTTTGCAAAGCTTTTTAATTGGTTGAAATTTTTTTTTTTTAAAGATTTACTTATTTTTCTTTTATGTGTATAGGTGTTTTGCCTGCATTTATGTCTGTACTGTATGTGTGCCTGGTGCCTACAGAGGCCAGAAGAGGGCATCAGATCTCTTGGAACTGGAGTTATAGACACTTGTGAGCCCACTGTGTAGGTGCTGGGAATCAAACCCAGGTCCTCTGAAAGAGCAGCCAGTGCCCTTAACCACTAAGTCATTTCTCCATCCCCTGATCAGTTAAATCTTAACTCCTATGGAACTATACAAAGAAATACATAATATAATGCCTCGAGGTGGTGACACACACCTTTAATCCTGGGAGGTAGAGGCAGGCAGATCTCTGTGTGAGTTCCAAGCAAGCCTGGTCTACAGAGTGAGTTCTAGGACAGGCTCCAAAGCTACACACCACAGAGAAACCCTGCCTTGAAAAATAAACAAACAAAAAAAGCACACAATATAAAAACATAAAAATGGGACACAGTAGGCTCACACCTGCAATCCTAGCACTCCGGAGGCTGAGGCAGGAGAATAGAGTTACAGATCAGCCTGAGATGTATAGCAAGACCCTGTCACAGGGAGGAGCTGGTGTGCAGTTGAAGTGCTTGCCTGAATTCCATCCCTCGTGCTACATAAACCAGGCTTGGGAGTGTGCAGAGGGAAGTATAGAAGTTCAGAGCCGTCCTTGGCTGCATAGTGAGTTTGAGAGTAGTCTGGGCTACATGAGACTCAAAATAAAAAGACCCTATGTCCTGAAACAGATAAAAGCAGGCCTTGATGGGGTGAGGAGCTGTTCAGAGTAGAGTAGGGCCTAAGACAGACTCTGTTCCAGCTGCAGAAGAGAAGCTCAGCGACCAGATAGAGACTAGTAAGTAAAAGTATGATATGTTCCACAACAGAGGAGGGGCAGAGATCAGAGACTGGGCAGAAGAGATCTGATTTGGGCTGTGCTGTGGAACAGCACTCTGAAGAAATGTCCTCTGCTCTGCCCTGTGTGACTGGTGCCAGCCACAGCCCTCCAGTCCTGAAGCAGCTGACGAAGAGAGGCCACCTGGCTCCTAGACACTTGGGGGTTTAGTGACAGTGCCATTTCTTTCTCTTCATGGAGCTGTGCAAGGGCCGCTTTGCGTAGCTTTAAAGCAGATATTTTTAACACTGATCGCATTTCAGAGACACTCCACTAGCACGTGGCACCTGGGCCTTATCTGAGCACAGGCTGTGTCTGTGACTACCCCTTTCCCTTGAGGATTGGTGACAGAAACACTGTGGCCTTTCTTCTGAGTGCACTAGCATAGCACTAAAGCCAGATGTCCCTGCTCTGTGGTGTCTTTTCCTTACTCATGTCTACAAGGGAGACAAATCCCTGCAATCTGACCTCTGTGCTCTCCACTGGGGGAGGAAGGGGTCTTTCCAGGGTAAGCCTGGCCTGGCAGATGGGAACTCTGTGGTCGAGGGCACGCCTTGTCCTAGAGTCTTCAGCAGGAGCCAGGACATCACACGTATGGCTTGGCCCAGGCTGCCCTGAGCCACCTCTGAGTAGAAACCACTCAGCCACTGATGTGTGGAATATTAACTAAAGGTCACACAGGAAGGGGTGACACTTCAGTCTGTCTCTTGACCCATATGACCCGATACAGATGAGCTAAACACTTTCCTGGAATACTTCCCCTCCCCCTTCCCAGACCCTAGTCCTCCGAGAGGTAGCCATGGTTAAATTTTTTAAGATTTATTTGTGTGATTATTTTGTCTTCATGTGTGTATGTGTGCCCCATGTATGGCTGGTCCCATGGAGACCAGAAGAGGGTATTAGATCCTGTGGAATTGGAGTTTTGAATGTTTCTGTAGCTGTTATGTGAATGCTAAGAATTGAATTCAGGTCCTCTGCAAGTGCTTGTAACCACTAAGCCATCTCACCAGCTCCCAGACCTTTTTTCAAGTCATGTATCTGCTGACAATCCAGTGGTTTTTTGTTTTGTTTTTTGTTTTTTGGTTTGTGGTGTCTGCTCTTTATGCTGCATTGCCATCCACTGTTTGAATTTTTGTTTCTTTATTTTTGAGACAGGCTTCATGCTATGTAGCCTAGGCTGACCTGGAACTCACTGTGTACACCAGGCTGGGCTTGAACTCAGAGATCCATCCATCCCTGTCTCTGGACTGTGGGGATTAAAGGTGTCTGCCACCTCTTTCAGCCTAACCACTGTTTTAAACTCTGCTAGCTGGCCTCACAGTGCAGGCCTGTGAGGCAGGAGGATCCGGAAAGTTCAGGGCCTCCCTCCCTCCGATGCATCATGAGTTAAAGCTTGCCTAGGCAGTTTAGTAAGATCATGTCTTGGAATGTAAAAATAACAAAAGTCAGGGGCTGAGAAGTTGGGGCCATAGCTCAAGGGTAGGACAGTTGCTTAGCAAGTATGAAACTCAGCCCCTGGCTAAGTAAATAATCCACTTCCTGGCCTGGAATATCATTTGGTGCCTACACCACTACAGCCCAGTTTGAGTCCCAGTCAGGGAAGTGTATTTGGGCCGGTGAGACGGCTGGTTGGACAAAGTACTTGCCACCAAGTGTAATGGTCTGAGTTTGACCCAGGGACCTACATGGTAGAAGGGGAGAAACAACTCTCACAAGTTGTCATCTGACCTCCACATGTGCATATCCATGCACATACAGATGATAAATAAATGTGAGAATCAAGGAACTCTTCCTTTGATGTGAATGGACTAGAAATGAGGACCAAGAATTGGGCCCCAGTTTCCTGTGTATTTGCAAAAAGTCAACGCACGCGCTCGGCGTGTGCATACGTGCACACTCACACACACACACACACACACACACACACTCACAAGCACGCACGCCGCACGCATGCTTCTCATTGAGCAAAGGAGTCCAGGGGCTTGATGTGCTGCCACCATTCCAGCTGTGGCAGTGTGATGCAGAAGCCTAGAAGCTTCTACCCTTTAGCTGTAGTAATCTTTTACTCCGTGCACTTCTTTGGAAGGAAGGGCTCCTCTGTCCCTTTTATCTATGTCTTTGAGTGTGATCTCTTCTGTTTTAGAAACCTGAAATCCTTAAGGGGCTGTGGTATTCTTCATTCTTTGTGAATCTAGTAGAGATAGGGACTCTACTCTTGACAACATTTTACACCCAATGTTGGGACTCACAGCTCTCATGAGGTCCCTCTGTGACTTTTGATAAGGTTTCATTAGCCCCAGAATTTAGAAAGCTTGCTTAAGGGGCTGGAGAGATGCTCTTAATCTTGGTTAAATTCCCAGCATCCATATGGCAGTTCACAACTACCTATAACTCCAATTCCAGGGAATCTGACACCTTCACACCAATGTACATAAAAAATGAATTAAACTAAACTAAAAAAGGAAGAAGAAAAAAAAAAAAAAAAAGAAAGCTTAGTTAAGAGGGCCTGTGTGGAGCCCAAGGTCTCTGCCAGCATCAGAGCTGAGTGTCTTTCACTCTATCAGGCTTTTCTTCCGTAAGAGCAGGACAAATGGGCTCTCAGAGACACCAGCCTCTGCTCGGGTTCCTTGCAACTGAGGTGGTTGCTGAGAGAGAGCCAGGGCATGGGTCAGGCAGTTCAGGCCTCCTGGAGAATCCCTGTTTACCAATCCTGCATTCTCTACAGACTGACAAGGAACGGCTGGCAGTAGAGGCCAAGGAGTTGCGCCAGAAGGTCAGGTACCTGCAGGATCAGCTGAGTCCTCTCACCCGGCATCGACAATACCAGGAAAAGGAGATCCAGCGGCTCAATAAGGTGGGCACTATGAGGGATAGGGCTCTGTGAGCTCAGCTGCAAGGTCTGCGCCCCCCTTCTGCTGTCACCCCCAATTCAGGAGAGGTGACCCAGCCCCTGTAGGAGTGTGGACTCACTCCTGCCTCCCATGTGGCCTTTGTACATGGCAGCCTCCCCTGAGGACCCCACTATGCCCTGACAGACAGTGCTGGGCCTACCCAAGCTTGAATCTCGCTTGCTCAGCAAAACTGTCCCTGGATCTCTTTCTGGTGGCCCCATTTTATAGTCCTGGGATAGCAAAAGCTGTTTTCTCACCCTACTGATGGGTGTAGTATTTATGCATATATATATGCATACAGACACACACACACACTTCTTGAAGCCAGTGTAAGAGACCTGTCACTGAGAGTCCCTGATGTGTAGGGGCTAAAGCCCATGGAGAGGGGCATTCTGTGGACAAGAAAGAAAGTAGTGTGAGGATGTGGGTGACTAAGGGCACTTTGCCTTTTTTGGGGGAGGGTGGTGTTTCAAGACAGGTTTCTCTGTAGCTCTGGCTATCCTGTAACTGTAGACTAGGCTGGTCTTGAACTCAGAGATCTCCACTGCCTCTGGCTCCTGGGTGCTAGGAGTAAAAGTGTGCACCATCATCCCTGGCTTCCCGGCCTCCTAATACCCTCCCCCCAGCTTTGTCTGGTCTTCAGAGTTGGTTGATAAAATAGAAACTAAAGTAGCAATTGCAGTCCAGGCTCGTGGAACTAGAGACCAGGTGGGTTGCTGAGGCCAAGAATCTTGAAGAAGCTGTCAGATGAAGCAGCTTCTCTCAGAGAGTTAGGTTGCTTTCTAGGGCTTGGGTATGAAAAGTTGAGCCAGGCCTGTTCAGTGGTCTTTGTACATGAGAACCTCAAGTTAGCCTGCGGATTAAGAGCACAGACAGAGCTGGGCATTGTGGTGGCACACACCTTTAATCCCAGCACTTGGGAGGCAGAGGCAAGTTGTTCTCTGTGAGTTCAAGGCCAGCCTGGCTTGTAGATCGAGTTCCAGGACAGGGTCCAAAGCTACAGAGAAACCCTGTCTTGAAAAACAAACAAATAACTACAACAACAAAAAGAGCACAGACAGGCTGGGTTGAAGTTCTGTGTTCACTCATTAGCTGTCTCCATTTACAGTTTCCTTCAGCAACAGAAACCCTCAGCAGTCTCCATTAGGATTTCTGTTGCTGTGATAAACCACCGCGACCCAAAGCAACTCAGGGAGGAAAGGGTTTATTTCATTCATAACATTAGGTCAGGGCAAAATCTGGAGATAGCAGCTGAAGCAGAAACCTTGGAAGAACACTGCTTAAGGTCTTGCTCCTCATGGCTTACTCCGCCTGCTTTAGTATGTATCCAGGGCTACCAGCACAGGGGTGGGACCACCCACAATGAGATGCGCCTTCCTGTATCATTCACTAAAACAAGAAAATGCCTCAAAGGCTTGCCTGTAGGCCAGTTTGGTGGGGGCATTTCCTCAATTGAGGTTTCCTCTCCTCAGATGACTCTGGCTTGTGTCAGATTGACAGAAAACAACACTGGACGCTCAGCCAAGTCACAATGGGTCTCTGGGCCTTAGTTTTTATATGAGAGAACAGGGATGAGGTCCTAGCCTTTGCTCCACAGGATGATGAAGAGACTTCAGGGCAGTGGCCCGAGAACAGCATTGATGAGTAGGGCTGGTTAAGGACCACTGCTGCTGGGGATACAGTTAGAGTTACTGTACTGTCAGAAAGAGGTTCTCCATGAGTGTTCTTCAGAGGGGGCTGACTTCCAGGCAGGCCTGCTGCTGATCCTGTCCCTTCTCTCCTGACCCCAGGCCCTGGAGGATGCCCTCAGCATCCAGGCCTCTCCATCATCACCACCATCAGCTTTTGGAAGCCCAGAAGGGGCTGTGAGCCACCTGAGGAAGCAGGAGCTAGTGACACAGAATGAGCTGCTGAAACAGCAGGTGAGGCTCGGAGAGCTGATGCACCCCGGGAGCCAGCCAGCCTTCCTCCATGCTAGCTCTGCTGTTCATTCTCTGTGGGCCTGGCCATCACTTTTTAATTTCTACTTTTTAATTTTAAGTCAATGATCCCTTTGTTTAAATAAAGTCCTGTCTGAGAGTCCAAAGATAGAAGAACACAGAATTGGGGCTGGAGAGATAAGCTCAGAGGTTAAGAATATTGACTGCTCTTCCAGAGGTCCTGAGTTCTATTCCCAGCAACCACATGGTGGTTCACAACCACCTATAATGAAATCTGATGCCCTCTTCTGGTGTGCAAGCATACATGCAGACAGAACACTGTATATATAATAATAAATAAAATCTTAAAAAAAAGAACACAGAATTACTCTAGTGAAGTTGGATTTGGGGCTAGAGGTGCCCTACTCTAGTCTCCAATCACCCCCCCCCCCGACTCTTCCCCAACAGCCCAATGAGAAGCATGGAGCCTGGGCCTGAGCAGTGCAGCTTCTAGAAGGCTGCCCTGACCCCTCACCTCCTGATCCCCTCCAGGTAAAGATCTTTGAGGAAGACTTCCAGAGGGAACGGAGTGACCGTGAGCGCATGAATGAAGAGAAGGAAGAGCTGAAGAAGCAGGTGGAAAAACTGCAGGCCCAGGTCACCCTGTCAAATGTCCAGGTGAGAGCACCGCCACCGTGGCCCACCGTGGCCCACCGTGGCCGTTTGGGGTTAGAAGGCCCCAGGGACTTGCTAGTCTGCATCCAGCTCTACTGCCGCTATTCTCTTTTGAACTTTGTACAGTGTCGTGGTCTAAGGTATTACTAGCTCTGACTCTCCATCAATGTTAATGTCTAGAGGAGCAAAATTAATAGGGTAGAATGAAAAGACACTAGCAGGAAAACACTTGGACTGTACTTCTGGCCTGTGTTCGGGCCACCATGAAGAGCAGGCCCCCTGCAGCTAACAGCCCAGCCTTTGCTGTGCCCCTTAGTGCCCTTCCTGGAGCCTCCCAAGCTTGAGTGGGGTCCTGGGCCTCAGCCATCTGCCCTCAGGGTGGTGAGGCCTCGGCCAGCACCTACTATGAACCATCTGTACTATCAGGCCTGTCTCCGTCCTCCAGCTCAAAGCACTCAAAGATGAGGAGAAGGCCAGAGAAGCCCTCAAGCAGCAGAAGAGGAAAGCAAAGGTGAGCAGCTGGAGGGAATGGGCAGCTTGCACTGTCTGAAACATTTTCAGGGAAGTGGGAGCCCAAGGAAATACTGCCAGCATTCTGCCAGTTAGTGCCAAGAGAGCAGTCCTCATTAACCGTCATTATCAGTCATCTGTGTCCAGGACCCCCGTCATGCCTGTGTCCCAGCCTCCCTTGCCTTCTTATTGCTAAGATGGCAGCTATAGGACAAAAAGTGGGTGCCACTCTGGTGGCAAGAGGCAGATATGAGCCTTTCTTGCAGGCCTCAGGAGAGCGCTACCACGTCGAACCCCACCCTGAGCACATCTGCGGGGCCTTTCCCTATGCCTACCCACCCATGCCAGCCATGGTGCCTCACCACGCTTTCAAGGACTGGTCCCAGATCCGCTACCCTCCACCCCCCATGCCCATGGAGCACCCGCCTCCACTCCCCAACTCTCACCTCTTCCATCTGGTGAGTCTGGGTCCCCCCTTCCTGCAGATTCTATCTAGGAAGGAGGGCCAAGTGAGGGGGTGGGAACCTGCTGTCCCAGCGGTTTCTCAGAAGCAGGGTGGTTGTGGGCAGCTGTCCAGTGGCCCTGGGCTGCTCTCCCTGGAGACAAGATTCTGCAGCCCCAGCTGCTCAGCACCACTGGTGTCAAAGGGAGAAAGACCAGTAGGAATACAGAATAGGAAGGACTGCCGTCAAGGCCTCAGCTGGGTAGTAGAGTTTGCTTTGGCATTTCTTCACCTTCAGTTGAGTTAGGTCTTACCCTTCCCAGGCTTCTCCCTTCCTCTGCCTCTTTACTCTACTCCTCTCTCCTTTCACTCCTTTCCTTTCCTCCTCCTATTTTGGTTCCTCTGCTTTTCCCTCATCTTTCTTCCACCCCTTAGAGTTGTTGTCACCTGCCCCTCCTTCTGCAGTCTCCCCTCGGTAGGTAGTCATCTCCTGTCTGGCCTTTTATTTAGCTTCTCCCCTTATGCACACTTAAACACCGGTGTGAGATTGCCTCACGTACCCCCAGCACAGTGGAGGGAAGAAACTTGCCTACAAGTTTGATGCCAGCCTGGGCAACATAGTGAGATAATAGGCCAGCCTGGGCTACAGAGTGAGACTATCTCAAAGAGCATGAAAGGGAAGGAAGCATGGACTCAAAGCTACACTTGGCCATTTTCTCAGCTGAGTGACAAGGTAACCCTTAGGAGTTGGTACTTTATTCTTATGCATTTAGGACTGCTCTGGCTCTGGCTGCTGCTGTGGCTCTGAATGTGGTTGGTTGTGGAGTCAGTTTTTTTTTTTAATTTTTTTTTGGCGAGGGGTACTGGTTCTTCTGGGGTTTTTTGGTTTGTTTGGTTGGTTTTTGGTTTTGCTTTTGGTTTTGATTTTGATTTTTCTGTGACAGGGTTTCTTCTGTGTAGCCCTGGCTGTCCTGAAACTCACTTTGTACTTTAGACTGGCCTCAAACTCAGAAATCCACCTGCCACTGCAGTGCTGTGATTAAAGTTGTACACCACCATACTTGGCTTAAAGAGTTAAAGGGAAGTACATTTTTGTTTTGATTTTTATTTTTGAGACAGGGTTTCTTTGTAGCTTTGGAGCCTGTCCTGGAACTCACTCTGTAGACCAGGCTGGCCTCGAACTCACAGAGATCTGTTGCCTCTACTTCCCTAGTGCTGGGATTAAATGCATGCACCACCACTGCCTGGCAATTGTGAATTCTTAAGCACCTATCTTGTTACAGTCCGAGTACAACTGGCGTCCACCCTGTGCAGGGATTCGGAATCCCACTTCCCAAGTGATGGACCCACCCCCAGACAGGCCTGCAGAACCAGGTGAGTGTGCATCCCCTGGTGGAAAGGTCTTTCACCCACCCACACTGACCCAGGTTGCAGATGCTGTTGCTTTGTGAGCTTGGTGAATGGAGGCCCAGCTTCCTGAAATAGTACTGAGAGGAAAGATGTTGACTGGAATTAGAAATAATCGAAGGAACAGACACTTGCTCTCTAGCACTGTGCTGTGAAGTAGCAGGCATGTTCCTATCTTAGTGAGGGGGCAGAAGTGAATTTCAGTACTCACATAGACAGACAGGTTGCCCAGAAGAGCAAGTTTCTGTGAGACAGGTCAAGGCGCCTGACTGGAGCAGGGCCAGGGAAGTTTTGTGGAGGCAGCGACATCCTGGCTCAGAGGCCAGAGGGATAGGGGATATTCTTGCAGAGAACAATGACAGCCACAAAGACCTCAGGTGTCGATCAGATTTCTGTCTCTGGGACAAAATGCCTGAGACAATCAGCTTCCAAGGAGGAAAGATTGGGCTTGGGCTCAAGGTTTCACAGATGCAGCCACCGGGATGCTCAGTCTGTGGTTGTTCAGGGTATCCGTGCAAGAGAACACAGCGGAGGTGATCTCTCTACCTCCTCTGACGACCACAAAGCAAAAGAAGAAAGAGAAGGAGCAGCTGGAGACCTGTGTCCCCTGCAAGGGATACTTGTAATAACCCAGAGACCCTGTGTTCCCTGCAGCTTCTCTCACCTCTTCAAGTTCTACCACGCCCACATACCTACAGGCTGATGACTAAGGCATCTGGAGTCACTCTGCCTCTGGCTCCTGAAACCAGTGTCCCTCTCAATGCATAGTGCATGTAGGCAATCTCCCGGAGTCCCCATGATCTTGACTCTTCTGACAGTGCTTAAAAGCCCAGTCTCTAAGGTCCAAGGCGGACTCATATGTGAGCACTTACAGAAACAAAAAAAGACAGATATGGTGGCATATCACTTGGGAGATGTAAGCCAGAGGATCAGGTCATCCTTGACTACATAGCAAGTATGAGGCTAGCCTGGGCTATGACTCTATCTCAAAACAACAACAACAAAATTGAAAGAGAAAATTTCATGTTTCCAGTATACAGTGTTGGGCCAGACATAGAGGGGTAACTGTACCTCTTTCAGAAGGGAGAAAGTGTCATAGACAAGAAGGATCAGACCAAAGTAATACTAAAACCCCAAAAAAGCAAATAAGAACTCCATAGTTCTGGGCTGTGACCTTGGCTGGCTATACTTGGTGCCCATGGCTCCCCACTGATTCACATTCTACATTCCTGGCATCTCTAACTTCCTGGGGTCTCCAGTACAGCTTAGACATCATCCTCACAGTTTCACCTACTACCATGTCTGGGGTTGCCCACTAGGTCCTGGATCCTGCAATATGCATTGCCTGACCCTGCCCCCCCCCCCAAGGCCTTCCTTTGAAATCTGGGTGGAAGTCATGACCCCATAACACTTGGCATTAGGCACACCAAATGCCAACATGTACTGCCAATTAGTGTCGGCTTACATCACAGCTGCAGTGGTCACAGGCCTATGTGTATGTTGGACCTGAACATGGCAAAGAAATCATGTGTTCTCTTCTCAGATCAGGGGGGGTTTACATGTTAGGCCTTCTGGACTGGGACTCTAATAAACCAAGTTGGACGCAGATTTTTGGTGGCCCTCCTGCTTCTACCTCTCAAGTGCTAGGATTGTGGATGGGAGTCACCACATCTTCTTTGGCGTCTTCCTATTATGGAGTTACCCTCAACACATCTTTCTTAATACTTCTTGGCAAGTTCTTTGCTGTTTTGTTTTGTTTGTAAGATTTATTCTTGGCATACATTAGATGTTTCTTTTCCAGCCAAGTGATGGTAGTTTCTAATCTGTCTGCCCTGCCTTTGCTCCTGTTCTTAGAGTAAATCTGTCTGAAGGCAGTCAGCAGTAGCCTTGATACTACCAGAACACTGTGACCTTGACATTTACTTAAAACTCCACCACACACAAGTGTCAGGGCATGGACAAAACAGACAGGTTCTTGCTAGAGTAACAGAAGTGACCCAGTTTCTAGTAGGGTCTTCATGTCTACCCAAAATGTCATGAGCCTGGCCTCACTGCCCACACACCAGTCTGTATCAAATTCTTCTGAACCCTCAAGTAGAGTTGCACATTCAGTTTTGCTTACAGCCACCTAGGTAGTTTCTGGGACTCTGAACTGCATCACAGACTCTGTGATGATTGATCCCTCTCTTGGTCAGCAATTTCCTTGGTTGGTAGCTTGCTTGGTCGGCATTTTTCTGTGTTACTCAGCTTTCCATCCCTGGGCCCAAACACCCAAGATAATCTACTTACACAAAGGAAAGGTATATTTTTGATGTAGAATTTCAGAGGTTTCAGCCCATGGTTACTTGGCCCTGTCACTTTGGGCCTCTGGTGGCATGGCCTCTCATAGTAGGAGTATACAGCAGAGTAGGCCTGTTCACCAGGAAGTAAGAAAGAGAGATGGGCTGAAGTTCCAGTATCCTCTTCAAGGGTGTTTGTCCGGTGGCTTTGATTTCCCCCATGGGACTGTCTCCTAACTGTCCTATCCTGAGAACCATGGGCTAGCTGGTAACTAAGCTCTTAAATGTCTGTCTCAGAAAACATTTAAGGTTCAAGTTATGGTGTTTTAATAGGAGTGAAGAAAAGTGGCTGATTTAAGCATCTGAGAGAGTCAAGATCAAAGAGGTGTCAGAGTTTGGGGCAAGGTGGGGTGAGGTATGTCAGAACGCCCCAGGTGTATGGCCTTTTCAGAGTGTGGCAGAAGGGCTGGTCTGGATCCTGAGAGTAGTGTGGAGTCTTTGGAGGTTGTAAAGTACAGTGACATGACCAGATTGGAACTTTGGAAAACTCCATCTGGCCACACAGTCTGCTATTAAAGAGGTTAAAGGATCTCGAGCTACAAGCTAGTCAGGAGACTTGGGCCCTCACTCTCTGCAGGAAGCACTGAGCCTGTGGGACTCTGGGAAGGCCACAGTGAGAGGGGTAAATACAACAGGGAAGCCATGTCCATGAAGAAGTCATTGTTATACAGAAATGAGGCCAGCTCTGTCAGAAGATAGTGCAAGCAGAGGCCACAGACAAATGACTCAAGTAGGGCTGGAAAACTTGGTGCTTGGAAGAAGGGATTAGACTGGCTGGTCATTTCCCGAGGGTCTGTGAAGTCCTCTAGGGCTGCTTTAGTGAGAGACAGAGAATGACATGGTAGGCAGGGCTGACCCCTCCTCCAGTTCTTTTGGGATTTGGAGATAAACAGACTGAGTTCAAATCCCAGTTCCAGCACATGGTAAATCTGGGACTTGGGACAAGCTTTTATAACTCTTTGTCCTAGTTCCCTCCTCTGTTGCAGGGGTAGCAAATGACCTGCTCCTTAGCGCTGGGTGCAGATCGCATGATGAATGCCCTAGAGACATCCTGGCACTTAGTAGTATACAATAACTCACTGTTGTTTACTCTAGTGAGGAAGCCTGAATTGGCGTCTGTGTGAGACTGACCAGACCACATGATCTTAAAGCTTTAAAACTTTTGTTTGTTTAGAGTCTGCAAAAAATGACTGTGAGGGGCCTCAGTGAGACCGCATTGGGTCATTTGGCTCCACCTTCGTCTTGCAGAGCCAGCTGACCTCAGATTGCCGAGAAACTAAAGGCCATGTACGTGTTCTGTGTGGCCCACGACTTGGCTGAACAGAGGCTGGGATGAGCAGGCGGCCTACCTCTCCAGCCCCACCTCGAACTGTTTACAAGACTAGGGAGACTCCACCCATGAGGCCTCTACCAGGTTCTTCTGGATGCAACTAGGAGAAATTCAACACACCCTGCCTCTTGCCAAGACAAAGGGGCCTCACCTGGCTTTGACTTGCCCTCTTTTGCCGAGGCCACTGGCTGTCCATCCTAAGAGTGGGGTGCAACCAACACTCTTTCCTCTCAGAACCTTGAAGAATTGGTTCCAGGCTCTCCAGAGACTACACCCAGTTCATGTGCATGTGTAATTTTTGCTTCAAGCTCAGTAGCAGTACCTGGTTCATGGCCCTCTCCTTACCCCTCTATGAGGAGTTATGGGAAGGGGGCTTTGTCTCTAGAGCAGAAGAGGATGATGCTATGTTCTGATGCTAGCGTGCACTCCACTGCACCCATGGCAGCCTCTTGAGATCCACCATGATCTGGGAGAAAGGCCACATCAGCCGTGTCTGCTGAAGGGCCCCAGCCTGAAGCTGTCCTCGGCCCGCATACCTTTTGGACATAAATCCAACTTGAGAATCAACATTTTGTGACTGGTAATTTTTTTTTCATGTCCTCATAGCCAGTAGGAGTGCTGTGTTTCTGGTTCTGCTTTTCCCTTCAACATTCCTTTCCTGCATAGTCCTGAGAATATTGCTAGCATCTTAGGGTCACCCAAGGGTAGAGGAAAGATCCTGGGCAAGGAATCAGAGGACTTGGAGCTATGGCAAGCCTTCGTTCCCGCCCTTCAGAAGTGATACCCTCTCTGAGCCCTCGATGCCTTGGGGATGGTAGGTGAGACTGAGCCGAAGTGAACTTGGTTATAGACTCCAGTAGCTAGGCAAGGGCTACAGTATGGACCTAAATAGAAGCAAAATCACAGACCCCACAGCACATCTTTCATACCTCCTCATTTCTCTTCTTCCTTCACCCTCCCTGTCTCCATCCCCAGCCCCCACCTTCCATGCAAGGAAGCCACCACAGGTAGGCTGAGCTGCTGCAGAAAAGGCCTTTACTGGGCAGATGGGGGTGTGAGAGATGCCAGTGGACAAAGTGAGGGAACAGCATGTCCTCCAGAGGAGCGGGGGTAGTGTCCCTGCCTGGGAGCCCAAGCCTGAATGCACTAAGGGCTGGCTCCACAAACAGGTTCAGGGGAGGCCCGCCCACAAGGGCTTCGGACCTCTCCTTCATGGAGACACCACCCCAGACTTGGAGTACGTGGTCATCACACTCACAGTTGCCTTGGTTGTTCTCAGGAACACTGTGGGATGGGGTTGAGGACTTGGGAGGGCACTTCAGGAAAGGTGAAGGAGGCTGGCAGTGTAGTGAACCCAGATGTGTATGGGGACTTAAGTGTGGGCACGTGGGGGGTGCTGGCCCCAAGGATGATGTCCAGATTTGAACAGGATCATTGGAGCTGGTGTTTCTGCTGGGCTCATTTGGAATAGAAAGCTGAAAAAAATATAAAGGTACAGTTCCCCAGTACCAAGCTGTGAACACAGGTGGTCCATCCCTGGGTATCAAGCAGGTAGACATGACTGTCACACTGGCACAATTGTCACATGTGTGCACAATGGTATAGATACACAGTTGTGCCAGGCTTGTGTTTTTATGTAATAAGAAAGGGCGCCTGGGGTGGGTGTCAAACAATAGAGAATGTAGGTTCCTTCCTGAAGAGTCCCTCCCCAGCCCTTGCATAATGGACAGGGGATAGGGGTAGGTGGTGTCAGTTACTTCCATCTGGCCCCCAGGGCTGCCTGTCGCCTCATGTAGGACAGGATGTCCATCTTGACATTGCTGACTGTGGTCCGGTGGTACCAGCGCATAACAGGTATGCCATCTGGCCCCACCAAGAACTTCTCAAAGTTCCAGCGGATGTCATGGATCTTCATGGGTTCCCAGAAGAGGCGGCCAGGTGAGCCTAGGAGCTCCGCAGTGGGAGGGCAGGAGTTCTAGTGGAGGAGTGAGAGGGTGTCAGCCTGTCTTGAGGGCCCTCCTGATCTCCCCTCAGCCTTCCTAGGGGAAAACTGAAGGAAGGGCCCCAGTTTGGGAGCTAGAACACTTGCCTGCCCATCTCTGCAGGAACTGGAAGGTTGTAGGCCCCTCAGATTGCCCCTGTGGGGCCTGCCTTCTCTGTACAGTAGGCTGAGGGACCACAGAGTCTGTCGAGTCCTCCCATGGGAGTACTAGACCAATGCCAAGGCATTCCTGGGGGCGAGGTGCATGGACTGGGGCCCGAGCAGCTGGGGGAGGCTCCTCCCACTCTCACCTTCAAGAAAGTGTAGACCTTCTGCTCTTTCTCCCCATTCACATCTCCTTTCTCAAAGAGCTGGAAGTTAGGGACAAAGCCACCACCCGGTCGGACATACCTGCAAGGAAGGTACTCGGTGGGTTCAAAGGAGCCACACATGGCTCAGAAATGAGGTGAAGGGACTGAAGAGACAAGGAGAGCTGGGAATCCCGTTTATTTGGTAGCAACTCATTACATATACAGGTCCACTGTGTATTTGCCATCTCAGTCCCTTCTCTGAGCCACCCCACATGCTTCAGGACTCCAAACAAGTTACCCATAGCCTTCTGTTTCCTGTCCCTCATCCTCATCCCATTAAACCTCATCCTGGAAAGGGCATGGGGGAGCAGAGTGACCTAATGGCTGGCATGGAGACAGTCAACCACCCCTGCAGCCTCCGGAGGCTGCCATCTTCAACCACAAGAACTCACTTGAGACTGGGTAGGATCTCCGAGTTCTCGCCTGGCTCCTGTTTGCCAAATTGGTTGCAGGGGAAGCCCAGAATGACCAGGCCGAACGGCCCAAGTTCTTCTTGTAGTGCATTCAATTCTTGGCCAGGGAGAGAGCAAAGAACAGGTTAAAAACCCTCCTCATCACCTGCTCCCCACCCACCCTCCAGATTGATGGAACCTCTGAGGCCCAAGGAAAGAGGATTTTCCCAGGGTGGCTCAATGAATCAGTGGCAAGGCTAGGACTCCAGTCTTCTCCTGACTCCAGTCTGGGGACAGTGAGGTTTGGGAGAACATCAGGTGTGTGTTTCCTCATGTCACTAGATACAGGGCCCCTGCCTGGGTCAGTCAGCTGAGGGCTCTTCCATCTATCTCTGGGCAGATGGCTGAGGACTTCTTAGGGTGGTGGTGAGGGCAGGATTAACATCCCTTGCATCTGGGAATTCAGGAACCCAAGAGTCCCTGGCCAGCCCTCCAGCTTCCTCAGCATCCCTGTATTGCGGACTTGGGTACAGTGCCAGCACCGGGCCCATCACTTCAAAGATGTACTGCACTGTTCAAGGACTGGACAAAAGCACAGAACACAGAGCTATGGAACCATACACCCTGCCCGCAAATCCAGGAACTCTCCTGCAGTGCCAGCCAGGTAGCCAGGGTCTGCTTGGCTCCAAAACACTGCCTCCTGGAGCCATCAAGCTGAGCCTGATTGATTCTGTCCCCCTGAGAAGATAGAGGACCGTGACTTAAGGGGGTGAGAGTGCCAGGCAGACACCGGCTCATTGTTGCCAGCCTCGTGTCCCTAGTTGTTTACACATACTGAGCCTTGGTGCCCTTTCCTGCACACTGAGTTAAGAGGAGGGCTGAGCTAGACATTTTTTAAAGAATGAACTGCTGAACTGGGTGTGGTGGCACATGCCTTTAATCCCAAAGGTTTTGAGGCCAGCCTGGTCTACAGATTGAATTCCAAAACAGCCAGGGCTATTTAGAGAAATCATACCTCAAAAACAAAACAGAAACAACAATAACAAAAGAATGAACTATTGGATGCCACCAGCACCCCAAACCTCTTCCTTATCAACTGCTAGAGCTCTAAGCGAGGGCTGAGAGACGGGCCCACATAGATGGGGCTGGAGGGGGAGTAGGCATTCTCAGAATGAGCTGCAGCCACCATTTCCTTTTAAAAACGATTTACTTTGTCAGTTGCGTTGGTGTTTTGCCTGCATGTGTGTCTGTGTGAGGGTGTCAGGTCTTGGAGTTAGAGATAGTTGTTAGCTGCCATGTAGGTGCTGGGAATTGAAGCTGGATCCTCCGGAAGAGCAGTCAGTGCTCCTAACCACTGAGCCATCTCTCCAGCCCTGCAGCTACTATTTCTTACTCCAGTCAAGGAAAGCAAGAAGCACAAAGCCAGGTAGCTGAGGTACCTGGGTGTGAGAAGGGTAACTGGGAACTTCCTAGAATATGTCTACCAGGCCTTGGGCTTATATGATTATCTTCGGAAAATATGAAATACGGTAGAGCTGGGATACGCACTTTTTCTCTCAGCCACCATCATCCCTTCCCCCTTGCATGCCATGGGATTAAAGTATACCCAAGTGGGCTGGAGAGATGGCTCAGTAGCTGTGAGCACTGGCTTCTCTTCCAGAGGTCCTGAGTTCAATTCCCAGCAACCACATGGTGGCCCACAACCATCTCTAGTGGGATCTGATGCCCTCTTCTGGCATAAAGTTACACATGCAGATAGAGAAATCTTTAAAAAAAAAAAAAAAAAAAAAAAGTACCCTAGTGGCAGAATCTGCCCCAAATTAAGCAGCAAATTAAGGCAGGAGGAAGCACTTACCAAGGTATTGGTCTGTCAGACCTCAGTAACTGGCTACATTGACAAAGAGGACATATTTTCCTGCATACTGCTTAAAAGGAATGTATTCCTCCCCATCAATGGTGAGGGCCCCATACTCGTAGATGGTACCACTCATGCCTCCATGGCAGTCTGTCTGGAAGAGAAAAAGATGGAACAATTAGAGTGGAGACATTTGCGAAACAGACATTTCTCCACCTTCCGGATACAAATGATTCCCAACAAGGAGAGAATAACTTACCTGGGACAATAAAATCTGAAACTGAACTAAAACTGAGGTCTCCTAATTCCTCATCCCCTGTAACTATGAGACACTACTAGACACTCGTATTTGCATTAAGCACTTACTGAGTACTGTGGAACCTGAGATTAGCAAATATCACTTCCATATTTCATAGGCAGTTGGGCTGGGATGACAGGCAGCATTGGGTGGCTGCTGCAGTAGTCCAGGCAAATAGGGAGAGGCCTCTGCTAGGTAACTGGGAAGGAGATGATGGACAGAAAGGATGTGTCAAGATATTGAGATGAGTCAAAGCCTACCAATCTGGAGGACTGGAAGGATGAGGTATGAAAGATGAAGCTGGGACATGAGACCAGGATCCAGGAGCAGGGCATTGTGAGATACAACAGTCTGCAGATCAACAGTCATATGCCTTCCTGTCTGTCCAGCCGCCACTCCACAGGAAAATGAGGGGAGGAGCCTAAGGTGCAATGGGTTATGCCAGAGCACCCAGGTTCTGCTCCAGCCCTGCCACCAGCTGGGTGCTGTCCCCAGCCTTCACTTAACCCTGACCCTCTCAACCTGGAGAGAAGGAAAGGGCCACTGCCAGCCAGCAGGGTGTTGCCCTGTCCCCACCCCCACCCTTCCTCATCCCCAAACATGGACAACAAAACTCCAGGGCTACTCGGAAAAGTGGTTCATAGATGTTAGGGCCACATGGGAAAGGAAAATCATTCCCTCTTCCCCTTGGTTCTGGAAAACTTGCTGCCAAAGCACGGTCCTCAGCCTGACTGGGTGAAGGTGCTATCCAGGCAGCAGGGTTGCAGGGGAGGGGGAAGCTGATGCAGCAGAGTGTCTCTATCTCAAAGTCACTGCAGGCTTGACCAACTGGGTGAGTCTGGCTGCCTCTGCTGGGTCGTCCCTGACAGCTAACAGCATTCTGGGCTGTGGGGCAAAGTTCCTACACTCTTAGTCTAACATTGCAGGACTGAGTGCTCAGCCAGACAGGACAGCCCTTCTTCAGGCTTCTGAAGCCCCAGTTAGGATCACTTCTACCCTTAGAGGCAAACAGCACCAAGATTGGGGGTAAACATCAGTAAGCAGGAGATGGAGAGTTCAGGGCCAACCTGGACTAGATAGGGACATCCTTTCTCAACAAGAATAGTTCAATACAAACAGGGCAGGATACAACCCCTGCTGCCTCCCTGCATGCTGCCTCACCCCATGGGTATCTCAAATGTGAGGAGAGCATCTCAGGGGTTGACTGAAAAATGGGAGCTTTGAAACAATGGGAGGTCCAGTAGTGTTTGAAGGGAGAGAACATGGGGAGCCCCATGAATTAGATTTCTGTCTTCACTGGTGGTGTGGCACTGAGCAAGCCACTTTAATTCTTCAAGGGGATAATCCCATCTGCCTCTCAAAGTGTGTTTCTATTATTTTGTTTTGTTTGGCTGTGTATAGAGGCCAAAGGAGAGATCTGTGAGATTTTTCTCCATTAAATTATTTCATTTCATATATTCACTTATTTGGGGGAAGATGCCATACGTAGCATCCATGTGGAGATCAAGGGACAGCTTGCAAAAGTCAGTTCATTCCTACCATGGGAGTCCCAGGAATCAAACTGAGGTCATCAAGTTTGGCTACAAGTATCCTCACCCACTGAGCTTTGTCGCTGGTCCTCTATCTTCTGCTCAATGTTTGGCTAGGTTGCTCAGTGAGCTCCTGGATCTATCTATCTACCTGTCTCTGTCCCCAGTAAGCCTCCAATTGTTGGCACCTGTGGGCATGACTGGTTTTACATGGCTGCTAGGGATTATCTTATGACAATGATTTCACTCATCTCCCCAACACTTGAAATTATTCTGAGAAACTGTTAGCAGATCAAAACAGGCTTGGACCAGTAGGTCATGGAGCTTACTCTACCTGCAGCAAGGACCAAGCACCTGTGAGGTGCCTCCATCACAGTAAGAAGCTGCCTTAGATATTTGCTAACTGCCCTAGGAAGGGAATAGTGACAGCTGCCATGCTTTGTACAGGGGAAAATGGGGCTCATGCGGAAAGCCCAGGCTGGGAGGATGGTCTGTGATAAGGATGCCATAAATGGCTCTCAATATCTGATCCCCACAAAGCCTTGTGCCTTTCTCTGGGTCCACAGAATCCCAAAGCCCTGTTCCTCCACCAGGGGGACCAGAAAAGAGTACTGAGAAGACTCCAGGAACAAGAGAGGAGAGGAATGGGTTGAGAGGTGGGGGAGGAGGGAACACTCAACAAGGCACCTAGTTGCTTAGGACTGCTGGTCCATGCCTTCTGAGATGTAGGAGACTCGCAACTGGGCCCAGCTGTGCCTCTGGTAGTGTGTGACCACCCCTCCCCTCAGGTTTCCAGCCTGTCTGCTGTAAGATGGAGTGGGATTCAGGGCCACTTAAGGCCCTTCAGCCTTGACGTCAGCCTGTGGTCCCATGATGCTCTCTGCCTTGTGCAGTCACCTAGAAACCAGCGGTTACTAGGATCCCACGTCAGCAGCTATTAGTCTGCAGCTCTGCAAAGCCTTTTGCAGCTCAGCTGGACCAGACAGAGAGCTTCCCCTCTTGTTAACCCTCTTTTTGACTCAAGAGAGTCTGTATCACCTTGGGTCTGCATAAGTCCCCTCCCTATTCCCTTGTCCTGAAGTTGGAACAAAGGAAGCCATTGAGTCTCAGAAGCCAGAACAGTAGCATGTCAACTCTAAGGACCTGGGAGGCCAGATGGGCATGCCTGCGCTGTCATGAGCCACAAGCTCAGCTGGTTGTGAGATAAGATCACATTTCACCCTAAGACTTTTATAGACCATTCATTCTCTCTTCTGTCTGAACTCATCCATTCCTCCCTGATCCCATGGGGAGCACAAGGCTGTGATGAGTATCATGGCCTGTGTGCTTACCTGTAGCCTCCTTAGGACAGGATTCAACCCCCACCCCTCACCCCAAGCTATTCTACCCCAGTCCACCCCTACCCCTGCTCCACACCCTAATCTTGAGCTCTGTCCTGGCTCTTGTTCTAGAAAATGCCTACTGAGCTGGTGATTAGGAATGGAGCTGGAGAGAAAGTGAAGGCTTTACAGGTACCTCATCTGTTTAGACTAAGGAGCTAAGGGCAGAAAGTACCTTAAAAACAGGAACCACCCTTGGGACTCTTCAAAAGGTGGACAGATTCAGGAAACAGCATTATAGATTAGGATTTTAGAAACCCAGAAACTCTAATCTAGAGCCTACCCAGGGTGGGTGGGTGGGTGGGTGGGGGTGTGTGTGTGTGTGTGTGTGTGTGTGTGTGTGTGTGTTTAGAGACAGCTCTTTTCCTTGGGTCTGGTTCTACTTGCCCCCCTCACCCTAGGGAAGAGAAGTCTGCAGAGCTCACCAAGGCCTGACCAAGGAGATAAGCATGTGGGTTGGCTGCCTTCAGCCTCCCCCTCCCCCTCTGGTTCAGGGTGCCACATGGGACCAGCATAGACCGAGCTCCAGAAGAGTCTGCCTGGCCTGGGTTGGCTTCTCTAGCTACAGTGTTTGCTGCATGTCTGGCCAATAGGTTCTGAATAGGGAGTACAACCAGAGAGTTCCATAGCCTACCAGCCCTTCTCTCGCCTCTCCTCCCTGCTGATTGAGAAACTGAGGCCCAGAAAGGGATGTGCCTCCAAGTCAAAACTCCCCCTGTCACAGATCTCTGCCACCAGAGCCCTAGATGAGTGAAGAGGCTATCAGCCCACCCCCCACCCTCAGCAATTTTTCAGGATGACCAACTGCACACTCCTGATGCCTAAAGGGGTTAAAAACCCACACTCTTTCCAAAACCCGCTGAATGGGATGGTCATTCCCAGGTAACTGGATGTGGCAAGGCGAATCCCAGATGACAGTGGAGAACGTATGAACTCAGGAAAGACTGTCCTCCCGGGTTTGTTCTGCCCTCTGAAGCACGCTGGTCTGGATTTGAGGAAAGGGTGCAGAGACGGAGGGTCGAAGGGTGGGGTCCCCGCGGCAGGGCGAGATGGGGGCTCCCGGTGCCTCTGGGGAAACGGTGGCACTCCCAGCGGCGCAGTGGACACCTGGGCGCAGTGAACTCGTCTTGCGCTCTGGAGGTTCACTCACCTTGGACTTCTCTTGTCCCCGGCCCGGGGGAACGAAGCCGGCCAGGAGCAGGGACAGAAGGCAGGATGCCCGAAGAAGCCGGGCCATGGCGGGCTGGGGCGCGTCTCGGGATGGCCACCGTCCGTCTGAGGTGTCCGAAGTGCTCAGCCACCTTTCAAGCCCTTCTCGGTAGCCAATCCGCAGCTAGGCCGGGGTCTTCCTGGCCAATGGCAAGGCGGCTGGATTTTCAAGGACGAGACATTCCCGCCCCATTTTCCTCCCTCTCCCCAAGCCCGGGGCGACAGTGACACAAAGCTTAGGAGGGAGAGAAGGGAGTCAGCTGTCTGGGAAGGACTAGAGATGGGCGCGGCCAGGGTTCTAGACAGCACCCAAGACGCAGTTCTTTACCCAACCTCTAAAAACCGGGGACTTTGCCCTGAGAACTTAAAAGAACATCAAATCCATTTAGTGCAGAAGCAGCAATGTGTGAGCCCGGTGTGGAGGCTCACACCTGTAAATCTAGAATCCAAAAACTGAAGCAGGACGATTGCACAGGTTCAAGACCAGCCGAAGCTACAGAGTGGAACCCAGTATCAATTGGAGGAGGTAGCTCAGTGGTTTAGTAGTTGACCAGCATGCATGAGGTCATAGGTCCAATCAGTCCCTAACAAGCAAGAGGAACGTGTGGATGTGATCAGTTTTGAATTCAGCCTTATCCTTGGTTAAATTATGGATAATGGTTCAGATGGGTGAGGACCAGAAAACACCCCCCCTTTTAATTAGCACGTAAAAGCTATGTGTTCATCTCTGTGGTCCTAAACTCACTATTTTGCGTCTCTGAGCCTCAGCTTGTCCAGCTGTCATGATGGGATTCGTTAATGATCTCTAAGGTCCCACTGGCTCTGACTAAATAATGAGTTTCTAAGTGGTGGACCTAGCCCCCAATCTCAGAGGGTACACAATAGATGTATAATATTTGTTGACTCGATCATTAAATTTGTTTGTGCTTTCATATAATGTCAAGCTCTAGATAGGGGCTTTCAGGTTTAATGAGGCTGCAGCAGGGAAGCGGTGCTTCTTGACTTGCTAACACAGTGGGCTAGGAAGCTGTTAGGAGAGAGTCCTGCAGTAGGGAACAAATTCATAGGGCTGCCCACCACTGTGTTCTAGTCTCGAAGGCATTGCAGAAGTGATTCTGTCACATGACCTCAGTCTTGCTCACGTGATGGGTTGGGTGCCTTCTAGAAATCTCCTGGCTCAGAAATGCCTCCTGGTACTTTGCTTTTACGATGATTTGGGAAGTCAGTGTGACCTGTGGGATTTGGAAGGTGTTTTCTGCATTCACAGAGCTTTCCTTCTTCAAACCTCATTGTGGGGCTGGTGAGATGTCTCAGGAGGTGCAAGCTTGAGTTTAATCTACAGAACCAAGGGTGGAAAGAAGGAACCGGTTTCTGAAAGTTGCCCTCTGACCTCCATTACAGTAATAAATAAGTTAACAAACTCATTGTGTTGAAGTAAAAAGAGCTTAGAACCCAGAAAACTTTATAGCACACAGAGGCATGTAACTGTGGCTGACATGACAGAGTCTCAATTAATGTCACTATTCTAAAACCTTAAGTCCCTGAAGCCTAGCAACAAAATTCACGGCAAATTCATGGCAAAGAAGATACCAGAAACCAGTCTCTAGTCTATGTTGTTCTGTGTGGTCTAACACTTTGGGTTTGGAAGGACTGCATTTATTAATTATGTTGGTGGAATGGGTTGTTTTGGTTTTTGTTTTTGTCAACTTGGCCTAGACTGGAGTTATCTAGGAAGAGGGAGCCTCAGTTGAGGATTGCTTCCATCAGACTGACTTGTGGGCAAGTCTGTGGGGGAATTTTCTTGATTGATGATTGATGTGGAAGGGCCCCTGGACGGTTGATCCTTGAATGTATAAGAAAGCAAAGTGCTTTCTGCAGTCCACACAAGGGAGGCTTGAATCCCAGGGATTCTGAGGTGGCTAAGGTAACTAAGAAGACTGATAGCTAGTTCAAGGCCAGTCTGAGTTGCACCATCCAGGCCAGTATGAAATCCTGTTTCAAAAACAAAAGAAAAAAATACCCCCCCATAAACACACAAATAACTAATAGTCTGAGCTACAAAGTGAAACACTGTCAAAAAAAAAAAAAAAAAAAAAAAAAAAAGCCCTTCCCCTGAAACCAACTGGCAGAGATAAAGAAATGAGCATTAAGGCTGATGGCCCCAAGTACTTGGTGCTTTTAAAATATCTGTTTTAAAAAAAATAAAAAAAAAAAAGAATAGAGGATGTAGCTCAGTTTGTAGAGTGCTTGCCTGGTACCCTGAAGCTTTGGATTCCAGCCTCAGCACCACATAAATGGGCAGGAGGATCATACACTGACCAGCCTGAGCCATGGAAGACTCTGTCTCAAAAGGAGGAGAAAGAGGAGGAATAAACAGCTGGATTAAAAATGATGGCTCATCCTGTAATTCCAGCACCTGGGAGGCTGAAGCAGAAGGATCACCCACATGTGTGAGGCCAGCCTGGTCTGCAGAGGAGTTCCAGGACAGCCCCATATACAGAGAGAGCTTGTCAGGAAGAAAAAACTACATCACAGAGTGCCTGCTTAGTAAGCACCAAAGCCCTGGATTTGATCCCCAATGAAGAAGGGGAGAAGGGGAGGGGGACAGGACACTAACAACCTTTGAAGCAGACCTGGTAGGTTTGCTGCTGAGAGATGTTCTCCACCAAGCAGCTTCTATTTGCCCTCAGGTTAAAGTTCAAATTCCTTTAGGGTCTTGGAACTCACCCATTTCATCTTCTGGCTGCGCTTCTGATTCTGTCTTCCTTGAGCATAGGGAATGTAGATTTACTAGGGAAACAATAAAAAGAACTCCCAAAGAGACTTCCTTTTCTTTCTTTCCCCCAAATTTGTTGCATAGTCTTTTGTTTTAAAATTTTAACTTTCTCGGAGCTTTGGTGGCGCATGCCTTTAAGTCCCAGCACTCAGGAGGCAGAGGCAGGCAGATCTCTGTGAATTTTAGGCCAGCCTGGTCTACAGAGCTAGTTCCAGGATAGGCTCCAAAGCAATACGGAGAAACTCTGTCTCAAAAAATAATAAAATAAAATTTTAACTTCCATTTGTTTGGAGGCAGGATACACGTACCACCACACACCTGTGGAGGTCAGAGGACAATTTGCAGGAGTTGGTTCTCTCCTTCTACCATGTGGGTCAGGAATCAAACTCAGGTCATCAGGCTTGGCTGCAAGTGCCTTTATCTGCTGAGCAATTTAGCCAGCTCTCAAGGACAATGGGTTTTGGACTCTTGAATCTTCTGCCCCCACTCCTCCAAGTGTAGCGATTATAGGTGTGTGTATGCCCAGCTAACATAATTTCTTTATTTGTTGTTTGTGAATCTTAAAACACCTACCCATCCCATCAGTATGTCCTGCTTCCTTTACACACTGAATTATAAGGTCTATAAAGTCTTCATTTGCAGCAGCTCCAATGAGGCTTGATACTATTAGCTTGGTAAATATCTATCGAATAGTTATCAAATGAAGCTTGCTTTGGCACCCAGAATGAGCAGAATGGCAAGCAGCCTTTGCTAACCATTTGAGCCCACAAGACTAGTCTGATGCTGTGTGAGGCTGGAGGCATGTGGGCTGTTCTGAGGAAGCTTGCTTGGGAGAAATGACTTGCAGTGGGCTGTGGGAAGATGTGGTGGAAACAGACATTCCAGAGCCTTAGAGGAAGCCTTAGTAGGCTTTACTTCCTGTCTCAGAGCATGATCTCCTTCATCTCATCCCAGGGAGCTGGGCACTCGGTGCCTTTTATCCTTTCCTCTAAAAACATAAGGGGGCTGGAGAGATGGCTCCAACCCCTTTATGGTTAAGAGCACTGGCTGTTCTTCCAGGATTGGGGTTAATTCCCAGCACCCACAGGGCAGCTTATTACCATTTGTAAATCCAGGTCCAGGGAATCTGATACTCTCTTCTGGTTTCTGTAGGCACCAGGCATGCAAGTGGTGCACAGTCACAGGCAAAACAATCATACACATAAATAAATGCAGGCATTAAAACAGAACTTAAATTTTCTTCTTGCCAAGAATTGTGGTGCATACTTTTATCCCAGAATTATAGAGGCAGAGGCAAGTAGATCAAGGCCACGATGGTCTACAGAGTAAGTTCCAGGGTAACCAGATTGACATAGGGAAACCACAAAATGTAATTATGTTTATTTATTTCTTCTACCATGTGAGTCCCAGGGATGGAACTCCAGTAGTCAGGCTTGCTGAGACATCTTGTTGGCCCTAATGTTCTGCTTGGTTGGTAAACAAGGACTAGAGACCATGGAATAAGAGTTTTTTTTTTTTTTTTTTTTTTTTTAAGTGCTGATGCATTGTGTCTTCAAGGGAAACAGACCACAAGTTAATGAGCAAAAAGGGCTGTTAAAGTCAGAACACTGAAAGGTATCCCATTGCTGAGTAAGTGCTTTAGGTTTGGAGGCCAGTGAGAAGGGTCAGCCAGCCCAACTTATGCACTTAGGGGTGGCAGGAAGGAGTCCCAGCCCCAAATGTTCAGTGCTAGAGCCAAATAGGAATCTGTTTTGCAGTCAAGAAGAGTTTGCAGAACTCAGGTGGGCTCCTGGAGCTTCTGGTTTCCATAATAACTGGCAGATGGAATCTCCGAGTCTGCTCACAGGCATGGAGCCAGTCAACCAAGAGTGGGTGAGGTGTCTGGGTGGTGGCACATGCCTTTAATCACAGTACTCTGGAGTTAGATGCAGGCAGGTCTCTTGAGTTTGAGGCCAGCCTGGCCTACAGAGCAAATTCCAAAAATAGTGAAAAATGGAGAGCTATTCAGTGGTTAAGAGCATGTACTGTCCTTGCAGAAGACCCAATTTCGATTCCTAGCACCTATGTTGGGTAGCTCAAAACAACCCCTAAGTCCAGTTCTAGGAGTTCTGGGGATCTGAGTATTTTTTTTTTCCTTTTTTTTTTTTTTTATACAGGGTTTCTCTGTAGCTTTGGTACTTGCTCTGTAGACCAGACTGGCCTTGAACTCACAGAGTTCTGCCTGCCTCAGCCTCCTGAGTAATAAGATTAAAGGTGTGTGCCACCACTGTGGGGCTCAGGGATCTGATTCTTTAAGTGGGCACCTGCACACATGTGCATAATCACACACACACATACACACACACACTCAGAAATAAGAGCTGGAGCCTGCTTCCAGAATCCAAGCCTTCCTTTCGTAATCTATA